TTGACTTCCTACGTTTGTCTAGAATCTTTGCAAGCGTTGAGAGAGTTTCTTCACTCACGGCAAACCAGCCGGTTATGTCATAGTGAGTCAAACGGGTGTGGACTTGAAGATAAGCGTTTCACGTACGATGCAAAAGTGGATGTCAATTCATTTCTTCGTGGTAATATCTGTCATGTGGCCGTGTGGCCAGTCTTCGTAATCTTTCTTCTTTTGTTTCTCATCATCATTCACCATTAGGTGTAAAAGAATCGCGCGCTGCGTGCAAAAAAGCCGGCCCAGTCTGGTGTAAAATCGCTCAAACGCTTCGATACCGTCGCTATGCAGCAGCTTAGAAAACCGTGTGCTACGGAAATGAGAATATTCGTCATGCCACCTTTGTATAACGCTCGATGCTGGAAAGATGAAAGGGAACCAGACATGTCCGAAAGCGTTCATGTTTCGTAAAGTGGCCCGTGGCTGTCATAAAGATGCATGTCGTAATGGTCGTAAAAGTTGATATCGCTGAGCCTGAGCTCTTCAAATCTTTTGGTGTCGTATCGCTTCATCGTGTGCTGCCCGGTGATGGTGACCGGATAAAATGAGAAAGTAGTGATGCGGTTCAGACCCTGTAACCTACCGCATGAAGGCAATAATCGCACCTGTCATAGACTCGTACCACCCCTCGACCACAAGGGCAGTTGGACGACGAGCTTGAAGACGATTTGCTGGTGCGGCGCCCTAAAGCGTCTACCGCATCAAGGCCGTAGTCACTGTTCCTTGGGCTCGTGCCGCCACTCGAACTGCTGGCGCTGTCGTAATCGTTTGAGGAACAGGTGTTCCTCCTGCCAGTACCAATGGCTACCGGTAAACCCTGTGGTGTTTGGCCAGGGCGTTGACCGGGGTCCCTTCCATCGTTCACTGAGAAGTTGCGGCAGATCATGTATGCACGTGTCGCAGCAGCATTCTTAGCGAGTTCATCCGATTCGTAGTCGACGTCGGTAGAGTATTCACGATTGTTGACACGGACTGTGGCGCCGTAGCCATGCTGGGTACGATATGTTTGGAAAAGAGGGTCTGGCCAGTGACGGCGTTGGCAAAGGCCTGGAGTTCTGGTTAGCCACCATCTCTGTCCAACAAGCGATTGGTAACATGTTTGCGTTCAAGATTTCCGAAGCAATGGCACACGGTGTATGCATGTTCACGAAACGGCCCACGATCTCTGGACTGATCGTGTGAGGTGACGCTTTGTGGGTGGGTCCAAGAGAGATTGTGGTTCACGTACCTGTGAGATACATGATGTAGAACATTTTGGGTAGCCGTGGGTGTGTTGCGGCTTGCCTTGTTTCCGCAATGGGCGATTCGATACAGCTTCGAATATGCACAGAAATGACCGATTCAACGATTTGGTGAATTGGCAGACGCTCGATTGGTGGCGATGGCAAGAGCAGGCCGAGAACGGAAATCGTGGCTCCTGTTGTACAACGGTGTATACTATTCGGGCATTGACAGTTGTCAATGTAAAGAGTGACAGCTGTTCGGAAGCGTAATCGAGCTATCGAGGTATGGGTGAGAGCTAAGAAGGGGACGTGGCAGACGGGGATGGGTGAAGCATTTGTCTCCGGAGTGGGATGTGGCCTAATTTATTGCGGCAGGTGAATGCAGCAGGCATTTCAGTGTATGCAGGCGCGTGAAATTCGCTTACAATCAGCGACCGAGAGCAATTGGACGTATTGAAATGAATAATTTGCGGGTCTGTTGCGGCTCTTCATGGAGAGACCCATATTGACGTGGCGTGGATTTTCGCCAGTGGGGGACTAGGTTCCAGAATTTTTACTCCCTCCAAAGGGTACAGCTCACCGGTCTTCGCCAGAGAGCATATCAGTCGCTTTTGCCACAGTGCCTGCATGCAGGAGTAGCGCTGGTAACGGCTGAAGATCGGTTCCAATTCTTTTGCACCCGCTTTCAAAGGCTAGAATTGTCGATCGGCATCTCGAAACAATGACTAGGGCAGCATGGACATGGAGATATCAATCATGTTTCTTGGCGAAGCACTCTGAACAACGGCATTACCGCTGCTCGTACTCGCTGAACGTGTGGGTTCCACCGAGGCGATGATGCAAGTGAGGGGAAAGGCGTCAAGCTGCGACATTAACAAATGGCACGCTCGATACAGTGTTCCGTGACCAGGGATGCATGTGTCTTCACTTGGCGAGACAGTGGTCGAGGTCCATGTTGGGATATGACGGGGGCCAGGTAAGGTGAACGGGACGACAGACCAGAGGCTCTAATTCGTAGGAAAAACCGAAAGGATGCTAGCTGAATCAGGTACCCACAGTAGCAGCAAGCGCGGGAGTCGCGCTTGGTGGCAAAGATGATTCGAGGTGAGGTTGACACGCTATCGTGACTGCAGGTAGATGCAAAGCATAGCGGCTTTAGAGCGGAAGAGCGTCATACCAGGAATAGCAGGCCGTTAGCCGGCAACAAAAGCACGGTCGGATTGGCTCTTGGGCCGAGGGGTCAGATAGAAATCTAGGGTGCCACCAAAAAGTGTTGTGAGCCCGTGCTCCGTGCATATGTGCGATGAGCTGGCAGACTTTGGACGTCAAGCTATCTGCATGTCCAGCCGAATAGGGCGAAGGACCAACGGCCTGTACGGCATGCTTGTCAACATGGATCGGCGGTTGTGGAGACAATCTATCAGTGCTCGAGCAAGGTTTGCAGGAGTTGCATCTGAGGACAGGACGTCAAGCAGAGCGGTTGGTAGATTGCCAGGGCTGTGGACATGGGCCTGCCCCTCGAGTCGCACAAATATGGAAAGAATTGGGGAGAGGTCGGCAACGATCCCTTGGCCGCGATTTCGCGGCGAACAGCTCATGCCAAAATACCGAACCATGCTGACTCCTGCCAGCAGCGTCTGAGAGTGCTGGAGGCTGGAGGCTGGAGGCTGGAGGCTGGAGGCTGGAGGCTGGAGGCTGGAGGCTGGAGGCTGGAGGCTGGGGACTGGTCACATGGCAGCCGATGTCCCAGACTGCGTTGCTCCCTGTCTTGGACTCGTCAAAGTCGGCGAGCGGGAGGCTGCAGAGAAAGAGCCCTTGATCGGACGAGTGATGATGCGCAAAGCCGGCAGCTTGACGACCGCGTTGGGCATGAGCTGTCCGGAGAAGCATGAAGCTTGGAGCACAGCGAGCGACGACGCAAGCTGCCCACGATGGCATAGCGGACGCCCCATGGCGATGTTCATAGGCTAGGGACGCTCAGGAATAGAAGAGCGGTACACGATGAACCAAGGACCATGCAACGGCGGCCTCGTCTGGCGCCGATCCAGAGTCTTGGTTTTGCATGGTTTGAAGCATAGTGGGACGCGCGACCTCGGGCATTATACACAGTACACGGCCGGGCAGCACCAGCAAAGCTGCATTATTGCTGGCGACGAGGGCGGTGATAGACGTACACATGTACGCTAGCCAGATCGATTGGTGATGGTTGACGGAGGGCGTTAATGACCTTGCTACAGCGTACAAGGTGCGCAATTGATAGACGCTGTGGTACCTGTCTGTTACACAAGCGGAAAATCTGGGGACGAGCGATGAGCACAGACTCACGGCCCAGCTCACCGCTCTTCTTGATAGCCCCTCCTCTACGCATGCATCTAACGCTTTACAAAAACGGCGACAAGACGTTAGTCTTTGCAGTCAACGTGTCAATCGATAAAACAGACATTGACGTGGCGTCAGCTCACGCAAAACGGCCGTATCATGAACTACCCGAACATCTTCGAATCGGTCTGCTTCCGTGGACGCGGAGCCAGAGCACGACCCCACGAGTTCCACCCATCTTTCCAACCAGCAGCGTCCTCGCCCTCCCTTTCAGCCCTGCTTTTGCGAGACGTGCTATCGCAGCGGGGCACCGACAGGGGTCGAGTAGCCGCTTGCCGAAGTCTGGAGCCCATCATTGCGACACAACACCACGCCGCGGCTTCGTCTCTCATTTGTAATTCTTGCATGATTCAGGGTCCTCCGATGGGAACACCTTCAAGTGCCTTTCTCAGCGTGCAACGTTGGACAGCATGGCAGTGCTTCATACCCCAGAACTTCTCCGGCATCGGACAGGCATCAGACCATCCAAACGCCTTCCGGGACATGAAGCAATTGCTCAGGCATTGCCTCCCAGATCAGCACGAATGTTGCTCGTCAGACCTGTCCATTGCTCGAGCCCAGTCGTTGTCATCGTACTTCGTGCCTTGTCCGTATGAAGGGGAACCGACGTAGATGTTGTTCCGGCATCATGGCTCTCCTCCCCCGCTCCGGACAGCCATGAAACACTACATAGACTATTTCACAGCAACGACCTCACTGCCTAAATGATATACCAACTTGAACTTCTCGCCCTAAACACTCAACCAACGCTTCCGCCATACTCCAAAATGCCAAAAATCGTCCGACTCACGCTCCTGAAAATCACCGACGACGAGGCAATTCAAGAGGCCGTCCAAAAATACTCAACGTTGACCCAGGATGCAAAGAGAGTACGTGCCTATTTTCCTCTCCACAATTCGTATCTTGTCCGATGCATACCCGCTCGAGCTATAAATCTTCTCGGGGGGCTATCTGCAGGTTGTCTGCACGTCACGCAGTTCGTCACGACTAGACTAGCACATGCCCATGACTCCAAAATTCTTAGCCATGGCGTCAACACGGCTTTGACTCGCGTTCAGGAAACATGCCGATACGAAGGTGACAGGTTATTTATTCACGCCATGGCGAGGCTGTAGCTTGTCAAATATGTGGCTTTCTACTTCCATCACCAGACATGGCGGCGTCCGCACAGGGCAAGCAACTCGTAGCAAAGCGCCATGAAGCAGCCTCACCGCAACTCCAAAGAGTGCACTGTCCAACTGACTCGGCTAGGACGGAAACCCTTATGTCCAGATGGCTGCTGCGAACCCATCTCACGACGATCCACGCAGTCAAGGCTATACCTTGGTAGCACGCACCGTGTTTGAGTGCAAGGAAGATATGGACTTTTACGACAATGAATGTGAGGCTCACAAAGCCATCAAGGCTGTGCTGAAGCCGGTCGTTGCTGCACCACCACTAGTAGTGTATATGGACGCTCAGTTCGAGAAGGTTTCCTAAAGGATCGCCAGAAAAGTTGGAGAGTAAAGCCAGTGAAGAGGGTATGGCTTGTGCAAGCAAACTATAGAAGGCAAAGTTGTCAACCTGGGCTATTCGATTAAATTCTCAAAAGCCCTCTTTTGCCTCAAAGTATCTCCTACACTCGTACACTGCCCTGTAGGGTATTATAAACACCGGGTGCACGGCCCTGATGATATCCTCATGATCCCAAATCACATCTTCACCGTCGTACCCACCCTCAGTTTTCCAATGGTATGGTGCACCTAGATTGGTACTTCCAATGTCTTTGTTGACGTTCTTGTCGTATACGTACTTGTATTGGGCAGCACTTAGGCCAGCCAGATTGTAGCAAGTATGGTAGGCGTCCGGGTATTTTCCCGGTTTGTCCTTTAGTCCACCCTTCTTATCTTGGCAGGCTGATAATATGTATCGTGCAAGTGCTGAGCGATTCCAGAGATGGGTGGAAGGCGTGGAACGAGTGAAGGCTTCGACGAGCGACCAACAGCCGCCGACCCAATGAGAATAACAGCCATCAACGAGTTTGTTGGTGCGACCATTGTATCCGCCTTCAGGAGAGCACTGGCGGGATGATAGCCAGTGGGTCAGCAGGGGAATGTCCAGGTACTTGGGCAATGTCTCTTCTGGCGGCCCAAGGATCGAGAGGCAGCCCAAACCGCAAAAGGCATATGCACCATGAGCTTCGTTTCCAGGTGCTGCTGAGATTCCGCCGTCCCAGGATTGACATTTAGATACCCAGTCGCCGAGTCCGTCGGTGAGTGTTGTGAGCCCATGACTGCGAGCGACTGCATCCTGGGGTAAATCAAGGGGTAGATTGAGCAGAGATATGACCACCATAGCGCAGAAGGCCCCGCGAATATCCTCTTCTCCACCTTCGCACATGGTGAAGCCACCGTCTGCTTGCTTCATCCGACCAAGAAAATGCCACATGGTTTTGCGATTAATTGATTCATATGTTTCCGTACCGCCTGCCATGGCGAGTGACAGTATACCAGCATAAGTACATGCAAGATGGGGAAGCTGACCATAGCCACCTCCATGTCCACCCGTTGGGTGCTGGGCAAGCGAGAACGTATGTGCTACTCTGCAAGATGTCAGACAAGCACGATTCAAGGGTGTTGGAATGTTCTGGTATTGACCAACAATCCGTCAGAAAAGCGCAAGGAGGATGTACCTTTTTTGAAAGGGATGAATATCGAGACCCAATGCTGTCATGCTCTGGAGACCCCAGTATACTATCCAAGGCCTAGACGCGTCCATCTGAGCCATGCGCGCGGGATAATCACCTAGGACACCCTTCAACATGGCCGCATGTCGTTCTCTTTGCAGTTTGGGTATGCCATAGGCATTAAGCGTAAAGTCATTGGGATTTCCCTCCAGGAACGGCAAAATGATCTCGTGAGTATCGTCCTCGGTCTTGGACGTCTCGGTCTCGTAATCGTCTTTGATGGGAACACGCACGCTGTTCAGATACGCAATGTTCATCTGCTCTTCTGCTGTGACCGTCCCCATGTCTTCGTACTCGTTGTCAGTATCGGAGAGCTCTTCAACACGAGGCGAGGGGTCGAGAATTTCTTCCAGGCGAGATGAAGGGCTCTGAGCCGAGAGGCGCAAGGGCACAGCCATTCTTTTAATGTCCCAGTTTTGAGTGTCTGGATTGGTAAGTCAGCCGCATGGGCATGTGTGAGTGGCTGCTGTGAACAATGACAGTCCTTAGTGTCTGTTACTATTGTTCGCGTGCGCACTCGACTGCCGGAAGTGATCTCAGATATTCATGGTAACAGAGGGAAGGGCGCACATTACTGGGCTCAACGTGGATTCCCAAGGACAGCCCTTTGCGTTTGCAACATTGAAGTGTGAAGCTGCCGGCGTGTGATGGAAAAGGTGCCCGTGGTGGGGGACCCAATCGGTCGGCAGATTGCTTGGCACCCAAGGAAAACCTGAGAATACTCAAATCGCATTGTGCCTCACTACCATTCATCGGCCTCCAACACTATTGAGGGTCCCATCAGTCAGAAGAACGCACTCCTGCCATGCCCGCCAGATGTTCGCCGGCTTCTTCCCCCGCGATGCTTAAAGGCTTACTCCCCTGCAACACGAAGAGCATCCTTGTCCACTCTATCTTGCTGTGATTGATCCACTGATGCATAGTTCCTCGCTGAATCGCGACATCTCCCCGCTTCATCGTTCGATTTTCACCGCTATCGAGTAGGAGCTCGACCTCGCCTTCGAGAACACATCCGTAGTCCAAGCTTACTGTCCGGTGCATCTTCGTGGGCATGCCATGTCAGCGTGGTGTCCTATGCAGCCTGGTTCGGCCCCCACATACCGTACACGCTGTATCAGGAGGAATGTCCACATGGCGAAGCACCGTGCCGCCCGATACCACAAGTCCCGGAGGATTTTTCAGCTTCTCGCCATATACATCCAGGTCTTTATCGTCGTCCATCTCAACTGGAAATCCTTTCGTGCTGTAACTGAGGGCAAAGGCGATACCGTCATCGTTCGGTTTCATCTTGCTCTCCTCGTTGAAGGCTTTGCTGAAGATAGCTTTGCCTCGGTCATCATGCGCGGTGATGTATCGATGGATCTTTGGGAGGGCACCAATATGAGCCATCTTGCGTGCTTGATCGTGGCTCTGCTTTCGAGACAGAAGGCGATTGAGGAGTTGGGCTATTCCGATTTGAACCTTACGTCGTTGTGATTTTAGACAGCAATTGCTCCTGGTCCCTCACAGCAGCAAGCACGAGAAGCAGGAAAGAACTGTCTCACATGAACAGGAAGTTCCACTCAGTGTCTTATGCACTTCTATACGAGGTATGCGCCGACTTTGTCTACGTTACACGATGCGGGAGATGCACATGGAGCCGGATGCCGGACGGCGGGGCCTCCCCGCAAGCCGTCACCACAATCGCATGGATAGTCATGTATGTAAGGCGAGATGATATCAACCTTGAAGGACATGTGCTTTGCCGGTATCTAACAGTACGTCCGGGTCATTGTGGAAGTCGTCCGTGTCATGACTCGAATGTAAGACTGGATATTCAGGTAGGCAAGCAGTGGCTTTCCCTACACCACACGTGAACCATTTCGAAGGCACCTCGCATCAGATCCCCCGGGACACTCGATTCTCCTTCCGGAGTTTCTTTCGGCTTCATGCAGACATGATGTGAGTTGTACACCAATCAGATACGCCATGGCTACCATACCGATGAAAGTCTCGAGCGTTGACTGTGGTTGTGGGCGGCCGTTCCGCTGCATTACATGCAGGTCGACGGTAGACTGTAATGCACAAACCGAAGCCGAGGAATTCACAAGCAAGCTGCGCAATGCAGCACCATGGTAATGACACTAGGTGATTTGTGAGGCAAGGCGTCAGATAGATGAAGGAGACTTCTCCATCTCTGGGCATGCCACAAGCATGACCTCAGCCAGTCCTTGGACAGCAAAACAGCCTTGTAGTCGTTACAGAGTTGCAACTTCTACGGCAAGGCAATCCTGCAGTCGGAATGGAGCAGACATCAGGTCTGTGTAGGCTCGGGTACGGCCTTTGAGGAATGTCAGCAAGCGTCTTGCAACCAAAACGACTCAACCAGCTGACGGCCGCGGGCACGATTTTTCGATTCTCAAGCGCCTGTAAGACACAACCGGATCCGGACGACGCAACAACGTGTGCGTACATGACAATTAATGAGCACAAGCGCCACTCGTGGGAATTTAGACTAAACCTTGATCATCACATGATGCTACACTCTAGACTACAACAATGCACTAGCGATCCAAAGGCCCTTGGTTATTGAGGGCATGCCAAGAGCTGCCAGATGATGAGGATGCAGGAGCACTCAGCTTGGTGCCAGCTCAGGCGATGCCTTGCATGCGCAAGCTCGTGATGCGCATTAGCTAGAAAGAACGGGCGCGATAAGATGCACCACAGCCTCCAAGCGGCCGCAGTGCGACATCAACGGCGACACAAGCACGGTGGAGCATTGGCGAGCACGAGGAGACGCCGAAGAAACATTCTCGACGCGTGGAAGCAAGTAAGGCGCCACGCTCATGCTCTGGAGAGACGGCGGAATGTACGATGACGCTGGATTGAGGTGCCCAGGTGTCGGTGAGTGTGGCGAGTCGACGGCAGAGTACCGTCTCGTCGTCGCAGGCCAGGTCATGCCAGTGAGGCGAAGGCGGGCTGCCGACCCTGGCCTATTGTAGCACCCGCTATTACGACGTCGCAAGTAATCGATGCAGTGTGGCTTGTATGGCCAGACACGCTGACTCCGGGGCGAGCTGGTAGTATGCAAGCAGATGTCCAGCGACCACAAAGTCAAGGAGTGGTACCATCTGGACTTTTGCAGCGCAATCAGGGCTGGAAGCAGATCGAGTCAGGCTGGCAAGAGCGCCTCAAACTGTATCTTGCTTGTTGCGGGACCCTCTTTGGCAAGCTCTCCGCACGGCGATCATCTGGGATCTGTAGGACCCCGAGGCTAAGGCAGTGGGCGATATCGAGTGGAGGGGTCGATTCGAGACGAGACGATGGGCGATGCGCCGGAGACTATTGCGAACGCTCCTGCCTCGTGCATCTGAGTGGCCCACGGTGCCAGCACACAGCAGGCCCCCCGACGCAGGTGCGGGCAAACTCGGTGCCGTCTCTCGTGTGCAGGTGCAGGTGAGGAGGGGAGGGTGAGGTGAGAGTGAGAGTGAGAGTGAGAGTGAGAGTGAGTGAGAGACTGGACGCAGGAGGTGTTCACGCCCCCCCCCCCCCGCGGTTTGCTTCATGGCGTGCACAGCACTGCTCGACTCCAGCACATCTCCCGACGAGTCCGACCAGGAATCCCGTCGACGGCCTGTTTTCTGCTGCAGAGTCCATTGCGAATCGCGCGGTCCGTTGCAGCGCTTGAGGCGGGCTACTGCGAAAAGGTCGTAGCAGGCTGGGAGTGTGGGGCGTCTCTTGACCGCCATTTCGCTATTCGCAGCTTGGCGGCACCTGCACTCTAGCACTCGGACGCCCTCACCGCTCGAGGAGAGGCTGAACTTCCTTCACGACCTTACCATCCCACTCCGTGACAACATGGAGAACCAAAACATTGATTTCGACGGCACCCTCTACACGGCGGAGGGCGTCTTTGACTCGAATTACGACCCGAACCGCCAGCCGACGTACAACTTCTCCCAGACGTGGCCCATCCCCATCTCACCCGCGACGGCCATGGCGCAGCAGCAGCAGCAGCATCAGACGGCCGCGAGCCAGAACCACCCCCACAACCAAGCCCACGACCACCACGATGGAAACCAGCAGCACCAGCAGCACCAGCAGCAACAACAGCAGCACCAGCACAATGCACGCCGCGTGCAGACCGTGGCCGCATCAACTGCCCAGCACCACGCGGGCACCATGGCGCCGCTACAGACCACCATGGGCATGGGCCTCAACTTCCCTGCGGCCATGCAGGCCATGAACCCGATGGTCGCCAACTGGATGAACTTCAGCCCGGACGGCTTCGTCCAGGACGCCTTCAGCCAGAGCATGGCCATGGGCGACTTCAACGGCGCCGCATACAGCACCCAACTGCAGAACTCGCCCGTCGACTTCGCCATCAACATGACGTCGATGAGCATGGCGCCCTTCCCCTCGATGATGCCCACCACCACGCTCGACATGCCCTTCCAGATGGCCGACTTCCAGCACGAGTTCCACAACACCGGCCTCGCCAACCCCGACTTCACCACCCACTCGGCCGCCAGCGTCTCTACCGGCGGCTCGCCCGGCGAACAGTGGCTCGAGATCCGCTCCATCCCCGGCAGCGACAATGAGTGGGTCGACCTGGGCATGGGCAGCCACAGCCAGCGCAACTCGTACGACTTCTCCGGCAACGCCGCCGTCATCTCCAACCCCGCCTACAACCTGCACATCCGCACCGGCTCCGACTCGACCAACTCGAATCACTCCGACTTGGCCCCTCGCTCGGCACACTCATTCAGCAGCTTCGAGGAGATCCATCCGTTCATGAATTCGCCCCAGTCGGAGACGGACAATGCCCTCGAGCTAGTGCACTCGAGCTGTAGCCACGGCGGCTCCGGTCACAGCCATAGCCACAGCCACGGATCAGTCCACAGCTACAGTCACGGTCTTCCCCTGGAGCACGACTTTGCAAACTACATCTCCCCCAACCAGTCCGTCAGCCCGCCCATAGCCCGCGCTGAGCCCATCATCAAGCAGTCGGCCTCGAGTACAGCCTCGCCCACGTCCTCGGCTGTCAGCTCACCACCAGCCGCAGTGACCCGCAGACGCAAGTCGCCTGTCACGACGCCAGCAGGCTCCAAGCCAACCAAGACCATTGTCAAGAAGACGCCAGCGCATACCACCAAAAAGGACGCCACCGGTGAAAAGCGTGTCGGAAGACGCCGGGGTCCTCTGAGGCCCGAGCAGCGACAGCAAGCCCATGAGATCCGAAAACTTCGTGCTTGCCTGAGGTGCAAGTTCCTCAAGAAGACCTGTGACAAGGGCGACCCGTGCGCCGGCTGTCAGCCGTCCCACGCTCGTCTGTGGCAGGTTCCCTGCACCCGCATTGACATCAAAGATATTGCCTACTTCATGAAGGACTGGAAGGCAGACTACGAACGTCACGTCAGCTTGGGCTTCTCCATCGGCAATATCAAAGGCTTCTCGCCTCAGGAGCGCCCCATCTACGTCACCCACGGCTATGGCCACTACCTGCCCATCATGGCTCGCGAGGTCTACGTCCGAGACGAAAAGTGTTTCGGCGTTGACTGGTGTGAGAGTCTGACCGGTCTACACTTCGAGATCAACACCGCCAAGCTCTCTGCTGGTATGGAAGGCATTTCGCGCGCTATGCTCTCTGAGTACCTAGACCGCCACATTGATGGAGGTTTCGAGAACTTCGTTGACGAGTACTTTGAGGGCACATACTTTGTCACCGAGCTTCTCAAGACTGCGTACCGCTATTACTGCCGGGAAAAGCTCCCCGTCATCCGCAAGGCGCTGAAGCTTGTCCTTGCTTACAACCTGACGATGCATGTCACCATGGTCGAAGGGCTTGGTGGCGATGGAGAGGTTCCCCTTGGCAACATCGAGGACGCCCAGTCCAAGTTCAGCGGCAAGACTGTCGCCCCTGTCATGATCAACTTCCAGGTCAAGTGCGCCCTTGCCGACATGTGGCGCGAGCTGCAAAAGGACGTTCTCGAGGAGCTTTCGTCCTTGTACCAGTCCGTTTACAGCGGTGATAAGCTCAAGAACTGGCCCACCATCTTCATGCTTGCCGCTATCCTCCTCGCAGTATGGGAGCTGATCCAGTTCGATTGCAACTACCGCGTTCCAGATCTTGGCTCGGTCAACACCTTCTGCACTGAAATGGAAGGGACACCCGTCGGTGTCATCGTTGGCTTGTTCTCTGCCATCTCCCAGAAACTCCCAGCCTTTACCGAATGGGACACGAGGAAGCACCATCATCTGCTCAACTCGAACCCAGCGGTGTGCGACGCCATGACTGAAGTCAGATCGCACGTCACCAAATATGGTAAGCGTCTCTCCATTCACCACCCAACGACACCAAGCTAACAACATCTATAGAGGGTTACCTGCGCTCAAGAAGCGATTGCAAGTTTGACCGCCAGGACTTCGACTCGTTATCGAACAAATTCCTGTCCAAGCTTGTTATCCGGGCCAACTAGAGCCCCGGACTCAACACCACATCTTCGCCATCTTTATCCTAATCTTCACCAGGCTGCATCATAATCTTTTTAACCACATATACTTACTTCATCCAACAACCGACACCCCGCAGCTCACTCTCACGGCACCACGAAACGATCCTCCGATGACATAACGTGTCCGACGTTTGCTACTTAACGGCTGACGACCTCAATAAAAAACGATGAACGACTTGACCTGACTTTGCATTTTTGCGATTCCCCGGCGTCCTATGGAAGCCACGTTAGCGATCCATCATTCCGGTTTCCAACCTCCAACTACCACACGCTCTTTTCGGCAAACAACGGATTATTTTCTTTCTTATTTACTAGTTGGATTTATTTGATTTTACCCTCATGGTTGACGATAGTCACACGACTGATGGCCACGACCTCGTTGAATCCTTGCGGAGCAGAACAGTGTGCTCTGCTATCCGGTTTTCATTTTTCATGTTTTGAGATCAGTAGTGGTGGCAGCATCTAAGTTGATGTTGCTACATTATGTCTTTCGAAACACTCTTCATTATTTCTTTTACGGTTTATTGGCATAGCGAGCGAGCGAATAGCTTTCACTATCGCAAGATATGAATTGCTCTTGCTGCAAAACATGTTGGATAGCTAGTTATCAACTAGCATCTGTCAGTCTCTTTCGACGACGATTGTGTATTTATCAGAATGTTTATGGGAATTGGACCACTATTACTATCACGTCATCAATGGCAGCTGCTGCACTAATCGACTTGGCTTTGACCAAACAATCCCTTCTGCTTTGAACGCTATAGTGTTGAGATTCACGGTGAATCACGCCATCCAGATTGGTCCTTCACAAACTCATGCAAAAAGACAATGCATCTCAACAACGTCATCGTCGGTCAACACGATCTAAAGGAGGAGAAAGCCCCGCCTCGAGGCACGTCCATCCAAAGTACTATTGTAGTTTCGTTTCCCCACCACCAGCCACGGCAAAACTCATCCCACGCACACCGCCAGTCTCGGTCCCAACCACTCCACTCTAAGCCACTCAATCCGAAAATTCCCGCACGCACGATCTTGAAGAGCAGATCAGCCGCTATTGGCCGGGAGGGTTTAGCGAGCCGATGCACACCCCATCTGGAGGTGTGTATCACGCCAAGTGGGTATGGCGTCTGGTCCTGATTTGGAACGTGTGCCTGAATCTGTTGTATCATGTTTGCGCGGGGTGGCGGGGCTCGTGAGGGGCTTTGGGCTTGACCTTGACCTTGACCGGATGGTGGCTTGGTACATAGTTCGTGCGGGATTGTGAACGTTGAAGAGAGATTAGAAGAGGAGCCATATTTTCTATGCGACATGGGGTTGTGAACGTGATGCAAATGACCATTGTGCACAAGGTGTTCCCTGTCATGTGGCGCAAAGTTTGTGTGGTGATGGTAAGCGGGGCGACAGCGCGAGATAGGTTACGTTCATGAGGTTTATGGCGGTGAAGGAGGGACAGGCATTGTCCTCTACACACGCAGTATATCGCAGGAGCCTGAATCTAAAGTCACTTTGATCATGCTAATGCAGATCGCATCGGTGAGGGTTGTTTCCTTGGGTTTCCGCTACGGAGTGTTCATCTCGGATGATCTAGCTCATAAAGCGAAGAAGGAAGTTCGGCAGCAAAGGCCCACAGAGAAGCCCAAGCATAGATTGCGCAAAAGCTAACCTAATTCTGCTCTTGTAATCTTGTCATGTTGTCTAGAAGCCTTGCCTTTCCTTGGGTACGTAGGACTCCTCGAGGTACTTGGCATCTTCGTCACTTAGTTTGAAGTGTACATTCTGTACAGCCTCCTCGATCCTCTCCTTGCTGCTGATGCCAATGATGGGACACACTCCCTTCTTGACACACCAAGCCGTGGCGATGCAAGCCATGCTTACACTGTGCTTCTTAGCGACCTCCTCCACGCGTTCGATGATCTTCTTGTCAGAAGCAAATTCACGCTCGTATACAAGTGCAGAGACGAATTTGTCGGTTTCGGCGCGCTTAGAGGAGCGGTCTGCAAAGGGCCGTGTGAGAGCGCCGCGTGCAATAGGCGACCACGGAACGAGTCCGACGCCCGTGTCTTGACAGTAAGGGATCTGGCCAAGTTAGCAATTTTGCAAAGGTTGAGTATGCAACATGCTCGTACCATCTCGCGCTCTTCTTCACGGTACAGCAAGTTGTAGTAGTTCTGCATCGATACAAACTTGTGCCAGCCGTGCTTCTCAGCAATGTTCTGGAGGGTCTGAAACTCCCATGCTGCCATGGAGCTCGCACCGATATATCGAACCCAGCCCTTTTCGATGACATCGTTCAGGGCCTTCATGATCTCCTCCCTCGGTGTGCTTCGGTCCAGGCGATGGATCTGGAGGACATCAATGTATGTGCCTAGCCTCTCCACGCTCTTCTCCACAGCATCGAAGATGTGCTTGCGACTCAGGCCGACTTCATTGACTGTCTCGCCGTCGTTGATCGATGAGAGCGCAATGGGGCGACCGAGGTTGGATTCGTCAACACCGAAGTAGCATTTGGAGAGGAGAACGACCTTGCTGCGCGGGATGTTGTATTTCTTGAGGGCTTTGCCAATGATACGCTCTGATTGGCCGTGGGAGTAGATGTCGGCCTGCAGTGATCAGCTTGACTCTTGCGGCACCCGTTTCAAGCTTGTCTAGAACTCACCGTGTCCCAGGTGTTAATACCGCACCTGTATGCGTGCTCGAGAAGCGGCAGACTTTCCTCCTCGTTCAGGACCCAAGGTTGCCATTCTGAACTTCCGTAGCTCATGGCCCCCAGAATGATGCGGGACACCTTGAGGCCAGACTTGCCCAGGCTGTGCGACGTAAGCTTGATGCTGAAGTGTCTGGCAGAGCGTCGACATACTTGACGTATTCCATCTTCTTCTCAGCCATTGCTGTCGGATGCCGTGCGGCGGGGTGATGTCGCTGATGTCCGGTGTCTGCCTTTAATGGTTCATCAATTCGGACCCCATCGGCTGTTCGGGGATAGCGTTAAGCCCGTTGCCGCCGGAACGTGGTTGCGTCAGTGAGGTGGGGCATGTTGTTAGTACCTACATGTCAACTCACATGACGACGTGGGAAGGCAAAAAAGTCGCATTTGGGAAGAACGAATGTGAGAAATATCTCATCCCGAAGGCATGCTAACTTGCATTGATGTATGGCTCTCGACGGCCATGTAAACTATGAATGAACCCGATCCATCATAACCCAGCCCGTAGACTGCAGTCATGTCCCAAACGCCTTGCACATGAACCCATCATCAGCCCGTCTGACCGTATTGTCCTCCACGCAGACGGAGCACCAAGTGCAGAGTCGACTCCTTCTGAATGTTGTAGTCGGAGAGAGTGCGGCCATCCTCCAGCTGCTTTCCAGCGAAGATGAGGCGCTGCTGGTCCGGGGGGATGCCCTCCTTGTCCTGGATCTTTGACTTGACGTTGTCGATTGTGTCGGATGATTCCACTTCCAGCGTGATCGTCTTTCCCGTGAGCGTCTTGACGAAGATCTGCATACCTCCGCGCAGGCGCAACACGAGATGCAGAGTGGACTCCTTCTGTATGTTGTAGTCCGACAGCGTGCGACCGTCCTCGAGCTGCTTGCCGGCAAAGATTAGGCGCTGCTGGTCCGGAGGGATGCCCTCCTTGTCCTGGATCTTGCTCTTCACGTTGTCGATTGTGTCGGATGACTCGACTTCCAACGTGATAGTCTTGCCGGTGAGGGTCTTGACGAAGATCTGCATACCACCACGGAGACGGAGGACCAGGTGGAGCGTCGACTCCTTTTGTATGTTGTAGTCGGAGAGGGTGCGGCCGTCCTCAAGCTGCTTGCCCGCGAAGATCAAGCGCTGCTGGTCCGGGGGAATGCCCTCCTTGTCTGCGTCATGTTAGCGGTCGTTAAGTTGGAGCGCAGCAAGCAACGTACCCTGAATCTTGCTCTTCACGTTGTCGATTGTGTCGGATGACTCGACTTCCAACGTAATGGTCTTGCCGGTCAGCGTCTTTACGAAGATCTGCATGATGGCGGTGTGGTGGTAGTGGTGGTTCTTGCTTGTGGTGTGAGTAACGTGGTGTGGTAGGGTTGCAGAGTGCTGGTTGAGGTGGGGAGCGTGTGGTTGTAGAGTGTAGAAGAGAGAGTCTCGGGGGGCCGCCAGAGCTCTTATATGGAAGGCGAGCGGGCGAGCGAGGCGCAGGCAACAAGCCGACCGATTGCGCATGTGGTCCGTGCGTGATTACCAATGACGGTGAACGTTCAGGCAGCTTCCACCGGAGCAACTTCTATCACCTCCAGCCATTCCACTGTGAGTCGCACATGATACGCTCTCGCAGTTCACGCCGGTGCGGCTGTGGAGTGCGGCTCTGCTGCTATTACTGCGGCAGAGCTCGTGGCATCGCGGCTTCACTGGCGATTGCTAGCCCAAGTGGCAAGCGCGCCCCCGCCTTTCGTTATCGCCGCCAATTCGCTCGCATGACGCAAACAGTCCAGGCCGTGCACGCAGTCACTTGACTCCAGCCCAAACTTTAGGACCGATGTGTCTGCGGTCCCAGCCTGCCATCGACTTGCCGACTTTCTGGCCAGCGAGGTGCTGAGCATGGCGTTCGCCTGCGAAGACCTCCGGGCCCTTAGTTACGGATGCCCTTCATCTTGTATTCATGACTGCTTCATAGCGATTACCTGACTAAGCCGACCGAATTTACGCGTACGCTCGTCGCGTCGTGGCGGTGTATTGCACCATCGGCCTTGTTGTGTATTTATGTGTTGATATGATGTCATCACTCCAACTGGCATCCTTACCCATGATTTACTTCAAGGTTAAGTACTGACAAGTCAACCAAAAATTTACGCCTCATCGTCCGATCACATCATGACGACTCCAATACTCACCAGTCCCGCTATCATAGGCGTAGTCTGCGCGCTCGAATACTGCGGTTGAGATGCTGTCTGCAAGTCTGGCGCCGACGCTCTGAGACAACAGTGCCCTGATCTACTGCCGTGTGGAGGCAAAGTCCAACAAGACCTTTTGAGCCATATACCCCAGCGCCTAGGTTGATATGGCGAGGTTAGGCACAGTCCTATGGGAGGCTGGACGAGTCAGCAGCAGACTACGATATAGGGTTGCTTCATGGGACAGGCGCAAGAGAGATATCCAAGTTTGCCAGGCGTCTAGCTTGTATCATGCTTAGTTCATGCAATCAGCAGACACATTTCATGGACAAAGTTTTGTTGAAACGGCTGTTCAATCACGTCCCTACCGAAAAGTGACTCCTTCGCAAAGTGAGGTCGGGCGGCATGAATGGGCGCAGTGAAAGAACGGCCTGCGAAGACATCGATCCAAACAGTCGAAATCAATGCAAGGTCTGCGCTTCCAATCGCTTGGGTATTGCGCTAGGCTAGGCGGCTACTCAGTGACGTATGGATGTTCCGAAAATCCACCTACCTTCAGCTCGTGAGAATCCTCAAATCCCGTCTGAACGTCTGAACGTGCTGACAAGTTGCATCGAGTCTTATGCTATACCATGTCTTGAGACAGTGGCATCAGTATCCACGGAACCAATTCGCTATCCGTAATATGTCTGGTGGGGTGACTTATGCAGCTGCTGTCAGCACTCCAAACGGATCTCTGCGGCAGCCTGAGATCCAATCACGGACATGTTCCGATCCAGATCTGCGATCTTCGTTCGAGTCACAAACACAAAAGCAACTGCAAACCAAACCACAACGCCCTGGCGCAGGAATTAGATCCAAGACGAGTTTCCGCGGCTGGCCATCCAAGAAGGGTCGAGAGTCTGAGCCCCATGAAAGAGGCACTATCCAAGAGGTCCGTCATGGCTATATGCCACGCACCGAACATCAGCCGAACACGGGTGGGAGCGAGGAGCACGTTTACGTCTTGACTATAAAGCTCGAGGATAGTTTGTCGGTGCCGATGAACAAACTGCGTCAGAAACATTTTCCGCGAAGATTGAATAGAACTCCAGCACACCTTACCCTTTTCCACGCTCTTCCTCATTCCCAAGTGGAAGAGGTGGAACAGAGTCTTTTGCAATTATCTGCCAGTACAAGTCCCTTTCATGTCACAACTGGTGGACCTTTCCGGATGCGCAAGGGCGTGGGAGTGAATGTGGACGCTGGATACCAAGATATGAAGGAAGTGCATTCTCAACTTAGAGGACAGTGGGTCTCTTTTCTGAGCGAGCAAGATCAGGGTGGATTCCGTCCGCATTGGACGGTGATGAACAAGGTCGACGATGAGGAAGAGGTGGAGCAGGCTTTGGGAGCGGTTCGGAAAGAACTGTCTCAAAGTGCAAAAGAAGGCCAGGCGGTTGGGCTGGAGCTGTGGAGGTACGATCGCGGTAATTGGATCTGGGCGAACGAGTACCCATTCGGCTTGTCAAGACAGATGTCATCGAAAAGTGGCTCTGGGGGAGCATCTCCATCGTTTAAGAATAAATCCGCCAGTTCGCCAGCATCTGAGAGCGGCCCGACCAAGAGACCTGGGATGAAGCGCGGGAGCAGTGTCGCTGATGTATGGAGGTCGCTGAGCTTCCGTCGCAAGAGCCAAGGGTGTTGACGAGTTCGGGATACTGTGTCATTGTCTTGTATTTGTGCGATGCATAGTTGTTGCAAGTAGCACCGGACTGCAGTGCAAGGGATGTGATGTATGTGTCGGCGTGGAGAGGCATGTGTCCTGTGTAGGATGGATGTAGACTGCAAATTCTCAATGGCGTCCAAAGTGTTTCGTTGCATCTCGTGAGCAAAGATGGAAACGGGTCTCGCCACCTTGACACGACACGCGTCGTGTTCACGATGGGTCGTTGCGGCTGAGGCCGTGAAGGCTGTTTGTCCAGACCGAGGCCATGTTCCCACCAAGGCCCAATGAAGCAAGTACGATGCGGCTGTCGGCCCAAAAGGGATGAGCCACGCCTTGCAGTCGTCTTTCGTGATGACAAGAGGACCATCTCGAAGGCGTCCGGTCCCGGCGCAAGCTGCACGTGGGTGCGAGTGCAGGAGAATTTGCGCAAGGCGGTGAATTTGGGAGCGGACTGTGGAATGCGCCGAGCGTCTGCTCGTACCTGCAGTATAATAAGCACCTCGTGATGGTGTTGCAGCCAATTGGTGCCGGGCTCCTGGTGGGTCACAGGGAGCTGGAATTAGAAGCGAGCGACTCGGGAGGGGTTCTAGGGGGTCTACGCTAGTAGTGCTAGTGTCGGGGGCATCAGAACAGTCCTCAAGAACCACGCTGTCCTCCCCTTGCTGCTCCGCTCAGCTCCTGCCGTATATATACACATCCCGTCGACTGTAGGGCCATCTGACCGTTTCCCACCACCGCCAATTCCAACATTCGCTCTCTCTCCAACCGCCCGGCAGCAATTTCTTGAGCTGCCCACTAGCACCACCACTCCCACCACCACACACCACACCGCTAGCATGAAAGGTCAGCACCGCCAACTGCACGCTGCCGCGCTCGCTGCTAACACAATGCACAGCCATCATTCTCGTTGGAGGGTTTGGAACCCGTCTGCGCCCTCTGGTATGTTCCCTGCTCGCTCACTGCCAACCCCGCGGTGCTCCCTGCCACGATGCAATGCCCGACTAACGCGCGCTGAAGACGCTCACATACCCCAAGCCGCTTGTCGAGTTTGCCAACAAGCCCATGATCCAGCATCAGATCGAGGCGCTGGCGTCGGCTGGCGTCACCGACGTTGTGCTGGCTGTGAACTACCGCCCCGAGATCATGGCTGAGGCACTGAAGACAGTGCGTACCCCCCACCCACCCACCAATTGCGCGAGGGAACGCATGTCTAACCGCCTTCGCAGTACGAGAAGCAGTACAACGTCAAGATCGAGTTCTCCGTCGAGACAGAGCCCCTCTGGCACCGCTGGCCCGCTCAAGCTTGCCGAGCGCATCCTGGGCAAGGACGACTCGCCCTTCTTCGTCCTCAACGCCGACGTCACCTGCGACTACCCCTTCAAGCAGCTCGCCGAATTCCACAAGCAGCACGGCGGAGAGGGCACCATTGTCGTCACCAAGGTCGAGGAGCCGTCCAAGTACGGTGTCGTGGTGCACAAGCCCGGCCACGCCTCGATGATCGACCGCTTCGTTGAGAAGCCCGTCGAATTCGTCGGCAACCGCATCAACGCCGGCATCTACATCCTAAACCCCAGCGTCCTGCAGCGCATTGAGCTGCGCCCCACCTCAATCGAGCAGGAGACGTTCCCCGCCATTGTCAAGGACGGCTTGCTGCATTCATTCGACCTGGAGGGCTTCTGGATGGACGTTGGTCAGCCCAAGGACTTCCTCTCTGGCACCTGCCTATACCTCTCTTCGCTATCGCGCAAGAACTCGAAGCTACTCACCCCAGCCTCGGAGCCCTTCGTCTACGGCGGCAATGTCCTGATCGACCCTTCAGCAAAGATTGGCAAGAATTGCCGTATCGGCCCCAACGTCACCATTGGCCCCAATGTCGTAATTGGCGACGGCGTGCGTCTCCAGCGCTGCGTCATCCTGAAGAACAGCCGCGTCAAGGACCACGCCTGGGTCAAATCGACCATTGTCGGCTGGAACAGCACTGTCGGCAAGTGGGCTCGTCTGGAGAACGTCACTGTGCTCGGTGACGACGTTTCCATTGGCGATGAGGTCTACGTCAACGGTGGTTCCGTCTTGCCCCACAAGTCGATCAAGCAGAACGTTGATACTCCCTCCATCATTATGTAAAACCCCTTTGACATTACGAATACCCGATCGGGCAGCGCCGACCTTTAGAGCTTTTAATCACTTTGTCTCTTCTTGTATATCCTGCTCGCATGATTTGGGCGTAGCTGCGTTACAGACTGCAGATTCGGTCACGGCGTCTCATCTTCTCTTCTCCCCACACTTGACGTGGGTCATAAAAGCGAGCAGGTTCGGCAGATGTAAAATGGTTCCAGGACAGTATGTATTTGCAAGCCATCTGTATTGCGAAAACGAATGATACGAATTCAACTATCTCTCAGTGAGCAACTCCTGGAAATGCGCTATTTCTTCATGCCGGTGTGGTCAAGCGTGACGACCAAAGACAAAATCTTCACACAACAAGTAATATCCTCTTTCCTCCTGCTTTGCCGTGTATATAGTAGCCAACCCGTTGACGCCTATCTCGGGCTCCACAGTCCGTTCGCCTTCTGTCCACTCCCCTTGCCATCGATCATCTTCAATTCACCAGCCCCGATATCGTAGATGAGTCCGTGTAGCGTCAAGCCACGCTCACTCATAGCCCTCTTGATGGCCGGATGTTGCCTAAGCACCTCAATAGACGCTTGCACGTTGAGTTCTGCAACTCGTGAAGCACGCGCATCGTCGTTGGTCAGCTTCTCGAGCTCCAACTTGTGCTTCCTCCGCAATCTGCTGATGTTTAGCTTTCTGTGAATAGGTGTTCGCTCCAGACGCCCCACAGATTTGTTACGTACTCTCGGACAGGGTGGAGCCATGTGTTCAGCGTCTCACCCAGATCAGCATCCCCAAGTGCTGCCGCCGCACCTCCACACTTTGTGTGCCCACAGACGACGACCTTTTTCACTTTTAGATGCGCAACGGCATACTCCACAACGCTCGCCGAGTTAAGATCATTGGCATGCACAGTATTCGCGATGTTCCTGTGCACAAAGATGTCGCCTGGTTTACCTGGGAGTTGGGCATACCACGTCAGTGTGTGTCACATGCCATCCGGGTATGGGAGTTACTTACAGTGACAGACGGTTGTCTCAGGCACCCGACTGTCTGCACAGCCTGGGAAGTGGACGTGCCAAGTCAGTACATGTCGCGCATGAGGTTCAAGTGGCACATCATACCTATCCAAAGTATTTCAGGTGCCTGACCTTTGGCAAGATCTTTGAACGTGTTTGGGTTTCTCTCCGTCGTACGTTGCACGTAGTGTCGGTTACCGGCGAGTAGGTGGTCCAAGGGATCTAGGGTGGCGTGAGTTGTGGCCTCATCGAGTATTCATCCTTGGCCAATGGGGAAAGTTTGCGCCGAGCAGGAATATAAAGACATGTTGCCCCAAACTATGCCCATACATGTTCTTTTCCTTCTTGACACTATGTCGACACCTTCTTTACTTGTGGTGCATATAGCGCATCAGACTTACCTATGTAAGTGGCCATGATCTTTCACGGAACACCGGCGATTTTCGACTAGCAAAGACTTCGGCGTGTATGAGATTTACGTTGTCTGTTGTAGAACAAGAGTAGGAAATCGGGTAAGATGGAAAAGATGGAAGCAACTACACTTTAACACTTTGTGGCAGCGGGACCTTTCTTATCTGGCTGGCTGACAGGTTGCACCGGAGCAGCTACGGAGAGACCAATACCTGAACGGCAGGGTGCTCGGAGGCTCACACTATGCATCGCATTCCTGTTACTACTTCCAAGACTGCCTAGATCAACGCGAAGATTGCTCGTCCAAGACAAACGGTATACGACCGGAACTAACGGAATTCCGTGCTCAAGGGAGTACGACAACGTTATCGCACAGAAGCTTTCCAGATTACATCATCTGGGCAGTGTACACATCAACCTCCGCATCTACTTACGGCTTTCTCGATGCCATTGAACTACTGAGCACAAAAACTCCGGTCATCTGTATGGTGCTGTATGGGTGAGAGGGTCACATGGCCGCCCAGATATTGTTCACGCCGTGAAGCACTATGAAGCATTCAACAAGCTTGGGCCGCGCCTCCCTTACATTCCCAAGGCTACAACTCCCGATCTTGTCTTCATTTCCACCATCTCGGCGTCCCTCTTGTTACTTACAGAACGCAGGCCAAGAGTCTCATAGCTATTTAACCGTCTTCGCGTCTCGAGTCGCACCCTGTTCCGCGCGGCCGCCGATGCATCAGAGCAGGGGCCGTAAGCGAACAGTGTCATACAGCCTTGTAAACGAAACTTCAATACCTGATCTCTTGCTATCATTGGTCAATTGAGGCATTAATGGCCATCGTGCATTCACCCCGCAAGCGCGAGCGTGTTTGAGGGCACTTTTTATCGTACGATGTTGAAGGTCACCACGCGTCCATACGCGCACGAGGTCATTCGTAACATCTGGCAACTACTTTTCCGAGAGACGAAGCATCCCCTAAGAAATGGGACGAAATCACTATCAACTTGCGAGAAAGGTCGTACTCCTGGATACATATGTGTTCCACAATGAAGATCCGACTTGATAAAAGTTTCGACCACAGAAACTTTGGGAACACATTGGTCCAACCCTTTTATCAATAGAGTAGATGACATTCCAGGCGTGTAAAAAAACTTTACTGAGGGTGGCTCTGGAAGAGAGGCGCAATCAGACTACCGTTTGTTTGAATGTCTGTACCTAGGTAGCATACCAAGGTTGCGGAGTATTACTTCAATGCCTAGCTGCGATGAGAACGCTACCGCTGACAATTTTTATCTAGTGAAAATCGACTGGTATGAACCATACACATTTTCCTGCTACCGAAGTCATAGCCTGAAGCGATTTGATAAACTGATTCGGGGCACATATGTACGTTCACCTTACTCGGCGCACTTAAGCTGCAGTCACTGCCGCGGTTTTGCCACTATCACCACCGAACTTAGCTCTCTGTCGCATGCATCAGCAGCGCAACGTCAATGGATAGAATGTGTCGTGGTTAGAATACTCACCACCAATGGAACAGAGCATACCACGCTGAGCGTAGCAGCTGCAAGGAAGAAAGCCCATATTCTGGTCATGGCACTGGCAATCTCAGGAATCACCAAAGCTTTCTCTGCGTTGGAGAGTGCTTGGAAAGCCGAGCTGCTGGATCCTGCGATGAGGTTTCCGATCTCCGCGGTGGAGACTTCAGGGAGAGCCTTGCCGACTTTGTCGACCGCTACATTATGGAAGAGACTACCGCTGATGGCGAGGAATAGAACCATACCTAGATCTTGGGCTGGGCACGCGAGATGCATGTTAGCTATCGTGTCTTTCGAGTTGTTTTGCTAGGTGAAAACCAACCGATTGTCATGGCACCAACGGCGTTAGCTATGTCGTGTACCGGGACTAGAGACTGTACAATAGCAAATCCTGCTACAATGTAGCATCCTGCACCAGTTCCTACGAGTATATTGTAGCCATAGATGCTGGTGTTCGACGTCGTGTCATTGACGGTGTCTGCACAAGACATTAGCTCGGGTGTTGCCCTCCTACGACGGATTGGGAGAAGAGTCTTACACATAAGAGCTGTGCCAATGAGAGTAAGTGTACTACCCCCGATATACCAGACAGGAATCAAGCCATATCTAGGCATCAAAAAGCCGTTGGCCATCGAGGCAACGACCATGAACATGATCAATGGTAGTAGACGAACACCAGCTTCAAGGGCGCCATCATCCTAAGCTATGTAAACATTCCATAATGTAACTTCGACTTTCGAGCGTACCTTGACGAACTGGAAATATAGGGGTATGTAGTACGTCATAGCCTTGGAGATTGGTCAGCTTTGGGCCGATTTGGACTTCGAAGGTAACTTGCCAGAATGATGCCTGAGGATAGAAAAACCTGGAGCTGCATGTTGATCAATGTGAGTTGCTTGAAGAAATGCAGAGGGTACAGGCGATTCTCTTTTGTGACCAGTGGGTGTAGCTTCAGCATGACGATGAAGGCGATAAGGAGAACGCCCGTGACAGTCCATAGCGCAATCACAGTTGCGGAATTGAACGGGTAGATGACACCGCCCAAGGTGAGCACAACGGTCAGGCAAGCGGAGCCAGCCAGGAAGATAACAGCATTGACCCAATCGACGAGGCGGAACTTTTCGGCGAGCGTCTTGGATGGACAAGGATCAACGCTGGGGAATAGTAGGAAATAGACAGGAGCACAGACCGCGCCGATGGGAAGATTTACGTAGAATCCCTGGGATTTGGTCAGCATTTATGTCGAAAGCCCACAGTAGGAGACTGAAGGCTTCTTACCCATCTCCAAGTAGCGCTGCTCGCTGCAAAGGCGCCGCCAATCTATTGCCACCAAATAAGCATGCAGCCACTGGAATGGAGCAACTCAGGGTTCTCACCACTGGACCAAGTACACTGCCAATTCCCCAAACGACAGTACTACCAGCAAGATATGCAGGCTTCTCTTGATTATTGGAAAGTACTGATACGTAGGTCAAAGTACCTGAGTACATGCCAGAACCACCAACTCCAGCAATGACCCGCCCGATGATGAGAGATTCTATGTTTGGCGCAGCACCACAAAGGGCACTGCCGGCCTCAAACAAGAAGATGTTGAAGATGTAGACCCACTTGATGTTAAATACGCCGTAAACCTTGCCCTACAGCAGAATAAACATGGTGCCGAGAGCAAAGCCTGTTCCGATCCATGTTAGTAGCTCGAGGTGGCCGAAGTCGTTGATGATGGCTGATTGGATATTGGCGACGATGGTATTGTCAAGGGCGAATAGCAGCGTCGTAGATAGCATAGCAGAGTAAGCAACAGCCCACTAAATGGACACAAACACATCATGTCAGCATATATGCATTGAAATGCTAGGTGTGTATAAGTGCTAGGGTAAGGTGCTTACTTTCCAACCATGGACGTTGCGAGGGCTAGACTTGTGGGCTGCAGCAGAAAGGTCACTATGCCCAACAAGCTCTCCTAGTGGACTCTGTGTGCTTGAATCCCCCGGATCTGTATGCTTTTCGCAATCTGAGGCGCTCATGTTCGGCGAGTTCGATCCGCTTTTGAATGGGTGCGGCTTTGACGGACTGTGAGATACCGTTGGTTGATGTGAGAAAAGCCTTGTCAGGAAAGTAAATACCTGTGAAATTGGAAGCGCGCTTATGGACTTGTAGCAATTTAATACTATCGAGTAAATGCTCGAGACGAAAGGCAGGCCCGAGCACAGGAACGGAGACGGACCCTGAGCCCGTTGGCCCCACTTTTCTTTGTGACGCTGTTGTGCTACAATGAAAGCCAAATGAACGGCCTTTCGGAATAGAGCCTAGAGATTTGATCCTTTTAGTTTGTCAGCCGAGCGCTGGAGTCATCAGCTCCTGTGACAATTCGTCATCAGCGGACAGCCAACCTAGAGGTCTTGTGCAGAATGTCAACGCGGGCAACGTAGAGAATTAAGCCTTGAGTATCTTACTACTTTATTCAGTAATTGATACTATATTAGACAACTTCAGGTTATCCTATCATCGTATGAAAATCACAGGGCGATAACTAATCATTGCTAGTCCTGGTAGAGCTTGCTGACGAAGGACAGACTTCTCCAGCACTCAAATTCTCTCATCAGCTAGACTGATCGCCGTGTTCCGACTACGAAAAACACGTATTATTAAATTTCCTATATATCGTTGTTGATGTGGATGCGAACTTGCCCTTAGAGATGATCTTTTGCACAGCTCGGGCAAACATAGACTGATCCTCGAGTGTCATCAATCATAGACTGCTTTTTAATTGAAGACGCCGTAAATTAAGGAATTCTTCTAGAATAGTGCGATAGTCGCTTGGTTTATACCGGACAAACCATTCTTCGAAAATGTTGCTTGTGCGGAATGGGTTGAGCCCCAAATCTTGCATCAGTGTATCTATGTACTGTTCTTACTTCAATCAGTATGGGTCGTTCCCAACTCGTCATGAAAGTTTTGCCCTGTTCAGATCTGCGTTATACTCAGCGGCATCACGTACCGGAATGTAGTCGTATATGAAATACGAATGCTTCCTGCACTGTTCGAGGTATCGCTTCCTTGTCCAAGCGTTGAAAGTCGCGGCTTCGAACTCCATTTCTTCTTTGGGAGGAAGGTCACGCAATCCAAGCATCCATGACACTCTCCAAAGCGCTTGAAGCTCTGCTGTAAATGGTGTGAATGCCGAATGAATGTGTCCTGGGAAAAGAATCGACCGATCACCTCGCGCCGCTAGCTCAGGTACAACCAGGCGACGAAAATGTCGGTTTGGACCCTGGTCTGCTCCCCCAGTGCCATTGGTATCACTATATTGATCTGGGGCGGTTTTGAGATAGGGTAGAAGCTCTTCAACTGGCTTCTCGGCTCTTTCATCGAGCAATCGTCGGGGCAGAAACCACACCGGCGTCTCATCGTTCAATGAACCACCAGGCGATGTCTTTGCGTTCGGCTCATGAAACAGAGCCTTTTCTGTAGAGCAATTACGACCCTGGAATTCCTGGCGAATGTCGCAGTTGACGATGATCGAGCAGCTGTGTGCTAGCAGACAGCATGCGCTACTTACTGTTCACGTTGACTGTTTCGGCACCCCGAACGGTGTGTATCTTCCAACGGACCCAGCGGCCCTCTACCTCAAGCGACTGAGCGATGCCGTTAGAGACGGCGATTCAGTTCGTGGCGTAATTCGTTCAAGCGCGACAAACAACAACGGAAAATCACCGGCCGTGGGCATTACGTATCCCGGCTTTGATGGACAAAGAAACGTTATGGCCCATACATACAATCGCAGTGGCTTAGATCCCATGCTCACGGGCTACTTTGAATGCCACGGCACGGGAACGGCAATTGGCGATCCCTTGGAAGTCCACGCAGTCTCCGACGTCATGAATGCGAAACGCACTGAGATAGATGGTCCTCTTTATGTCGGGGCCGTTAAGACCAATATTGGGCATAGCGAAGCGACCAGCGGGCTGTCTGCCGTCATCAAGGTCATCCTCATAGCGGAGAGAAACACCATAACTTCAACATTTGGACTTACTTACCCGAACCCGAAGATTGATTGGAAAGGCTGGCGAGTCAACGTACCCACCAAATCGACTCCGATTCCGGAACACTAGCCTGTCACGAGAATCAGCGTCAATTCCTTTGGGTATGATATCGACTCTGCTTAGGAGAAAAATTACTGACTAGGAACTAGCTATGGTGGCACAAATGCGCACGCTGTAATCGAGAGCCCAAAGTCCCTGCTGGCCTTGCCACAAATATTCTGAGCTTGGTGCCACTACTAGAGTCAAGCTGGCGCAAGGGGCAATCAATCGAAACAGGCCATATCTCTTGGTGTTTTCTGCCCACGATCTGGGGGCTCTCAAGAGGAATGCCGCCGCTTATGGCAAGGTTGCTGCAGACTACAGCTTGCTCGACCTATCCCACACCCTTGCCAGTCACCATCTCCGATTTCATGTCAAAGGTATGATTGTCACAACACTGGCAAATTTACATCAAGATATCATCAACGACGCCCCGAAGCTTGGTCTGGCCGACAAGAAGGAGAAAGCCAGTACACTCGCTTTTGTGTTCACTGGACAAGGTGCACAATGGGCTCGAATGGGTGCGCAGCTGATGACTTATTACCCGACGTTCCTCTCATCGATTCGCCGTATGGATCTGGTTCTGGAACATCTTGATGAACTACCATCTTGGACATTGGAAGAAGCCCTTCTCCAAGACCCGGCTACATCACGCGTTAGCGAAGCTGAGTTTTCCCAACCGCTGTGTACCTCGATTCAAGTTGCTCTTGTTCAACTTCTCTGCCTCTGGGGAATCAAGTCTTCAGTAACAATCGGCCACTCCTCTGGCGAGATCGGTGCCGCTTTTGCCGCTGGGTTTCTGTCTGAGTCAGAAGCTATTTTGACAGCGTACTACTGTGGCCAAGTCGTTAAGAACACCGACTCAGCTGGCGCCATGATGGCTGTTGGTCTCGGGGTCGAAGCTGTCACGCCCCACATTGGAAGATTCAAACTTGATGATGTCGTAGTTGCTTGCCATAACTCGCCATCTGGAGTTACCTTGAGTGGCAGTATCGACGCTCTGAAGTCAATCGAAGAGACCTTGTAGGCAGGGAATGTATTTGCCCGTCTTGTCAAGACCAATGGCAAAGGTTATCACTCACATCATATGCTCCCAGCTGTCGAAAGATACGAGGAGCTTATTCGCAAAGCTAGACCCATCGTTGGCAACGAGATTGTATCTACTGAGGTCAAGATGGTGTCTTGAGTGACTAATTTAGTCTTGGCGAAAGATGCAATTCTTGATGAAAAGTACTGGGGCGCCAATCTCATCAGTCGAGTTCTCTTCAACCAGGCTGTCCAAACGGCTCTCACGAGTAAAATGCTACCCAAGATCGACATATTGATCGAAATTGGACCGTATTCGGCTCTTTCGGGGCCGATTAGGCAAATCCAGACCGAGTTGCAAGCCGACAAGCTGCAGTGTCTACCGGCTCTCGTGCGCGGTCTCCCCTGTGCAGAACAAGTGCTCAAGCTGGCTGGCGAACTGTTCTTGCGCAACTATCCTGTAGACCTCGCAAGAGTGACGGCGATTGAGGAGGCCTACCAGTCCGGCAAGATAATACCCCAGCGAGGCAACCTCATCGTAGATTTGCCGCCATACTAGTGGGATAAGACAAGAAAGTATTGGGCTGAATCACGAGAGAACAAGGAACACCGCTCACCGTCCTACCCTCGTCATGATATTCTGGGCCAATTGACGATTGGTGGATCGCTCGCTGAACCCACCTGGCGCAATATCCTCCGCATCAAAGATCTTCCCTGGCTTCGGGACCATGCCCTTGGCGGAGAAGCATTTTTTCCTGCTGCCGGGTACCTCTCTATGGCTATGGAGGCTGTAACTCAAATCATCAGTACGGCCGAGAAGCCTGTCGAAATCAAGTCATACGTCTTCAGGGATGTCACCATTCAGCAAGCATTGGTAACCCTAGATGACGAGAACGTCATCGAGGTTCTCTTCAATATGCGCACATCACGGCTCGGTACGGAAGAGGGAGACAAGCAATGGTGGGAATTCAATGTCTCGTCTGTGTCGTTTGAGGGGCACCGCAAAAGCCACATGGCTGGAAGTGTCAGCATCAACGTCAACTCAAGCAGAGTAGTCCCCAGAAAGGTTCCCAACCTACTGCAGCGAGCCTCAAGTAGGCTTTGGAATCAGGCTTTGAAGCAAGTTGGATTCAATTATGGTCCGACATTCCAAGACATGGATAACATCGCCTTTGATGCAGTGACGTACTGCGCTCACGCTTCGACGAATACTAAGACCACTGTGATGAAGGACGAGTCCCGACACGTATTGCACCCAGCCACCCTCGACTCGTGTCTTCAGCTCATGATTGTTACAATTTGGGCCGGCCGTACTGGTGCAATGCAATTTGGAGCAGTGCCTGTGAGTGCTGAAGAGATCACTGTCTGGAAGCCCAAGGCAGATCAGCTCACGGATGATGCCCGTGCAACGGCCTTCTCATGGATTGACCCGCGAGGAAAGAGACTTTTTAATGCACACAATCAACTTGTGGCAGAAGACGGGCAAGTCCTTATGGAAATCAAAAGCATGCGTTGTATTGCGTACGAAGCTGCGATTCCGCAGCGACTAGAAGCCCCAATTCAGCCGCGACCCTACTCTGAACTCGTTTATAAGCCAGATGCTTCATGGATGCGTGGCAATCAAACTTATCTGCATGTCGTCGATTTCGTTGAGATTGCCGAATTGAAAACCCCGGGCTTGAATGTCCTCGTTGCGAATTCGGATGTTGCCCAGTCTCTCAAGGCGAAGTTTCCCCGGATTTCTATAACATTGGTCACATGTGGCCTTCAAGAAGAGGCGAATGGGCCGAGTTCTAGCATACTGGAAAACCTCACTTGCGTACCGCTCAATCTGCTAGTCAGTCTAGCAGCCTAATCTTGCGAGAAGCTCAAACAACATTCATTCGATCTCGTTATCGCGCCTGATGCTCCGAGCAATGCATTGGAGAGCATCTCTGAGCCATTGGTTGAAAGAGGTCAGGCTGTCATGGGAAGGCCTTCATCATCTACGATCAACCCTGATTTGAAATTGGCTGGATTTTCAGGCCCAGACTCCTTCACGAAGGACTCCATGTTCGTCATATCTAAAGCCGTGGAAACCAAAAGCCCCGCATCGACGCTCGTTAAGCTGATAGAGCAAAATACTCCGACTGAATATACCACTCGCTTGCAGCTTCAACTCGAGAAGATTAGCTTCGAACGCGAAGTCCTAAAGCTCGGAGATCCTTGTATGCCCGGTAGCAATATCATCATGCTGACCGACCTTGAGTAGCCGTTCGTGGCCATTACGTCAGAACCAGAGTTTCTCGAACTTTGAAAATCTTGTAGGCATCTTCTGGATACATTTCTGGAGATGGCATTCGTTCTGAGTCCGCAATGACACTGGGGCTTTTGCGTTCGCTCCGATCCGAACGAGATTCTCTCAACGTAACCTTTGTTGACTTCGTTAAAACTGATCTTGTTTCCGAGGATTTTATTTCGCGGACGACATCGTTGGCAATCGCTCTGTTTGGAAAAGGAAGAAAGCTTGAGACTGAATACCTTGCTCGTGACGGTCAGTTGCTCTTGAACCGCTTCACTCCTGCTGAGAAGATCAATAAAATGTACGGACACACCGGCTGGAAGACGCAGCCTCAAAAATTTGACCCCGAAAGCAGACTGGTGGGTAAAGTCCAGGCTGGGAAGGTTGTGTTTGAAATTGCTCCTCCTGATACACAGCCACTGCAGCAAGATGAGATCGAGTTCCGACCATTGGCGACCGGCATTAATCGCGAAGATCAGGTCGTTATCTCACGTGCCTCTTTGGAAACTGACTTCAGCCACGAAGCTTCTGGCACAGTCACCAGGATTGGAAGTAAAGTCACCAAAGTTTCTATTGGCGACAGCATCGTCGCCTTTAGTTCAAGCAAATTTTCCAACTATCAGCGCATTCCTGAATATCTGGCACAACGTATTGAATCTGGAGAGCTTTGTACGACGATCGCAAGCCTTCCGATGTACTATGGCGCCGCACTGTATGGTCTCCAGATGCTGGCGAGACTTCAGTATCAAGAGTCCGTTCTCATCCTTCCCGGATCGGGACTTCGTGGAGCAGCCGCAATAAGGATTTTCCAGGCGCTTCATGGTCTACCATATGTTGCTGTGCGTGACTCGAAGGAAGCAGAACAGGTTGCGGCGACCTTTGCTCTGCCCAGTGACCAAATCCTGGTCGATTTTACTCCACAAACACTCCTTGATTTGGAGGTTAATGTAGTATTTTCAGGCAATTCGGTAGAACCGACTATAGCACGAGAATCATGGCGGCATTCACCGGCGTTCTCGCGGTTTGTCAGTTGCAACGCTACCGTCCGAGCAGCGTCTTTAGAATCTGTTCCGACCGCTCGTGGAGCGAGCTACTTATCATTGAATATCAGCAGTCTCTTCAAGAGGCCTCGGATTCTCGCAGTCGTGCTGGAGCGCATCACAACACTCTATCGAGAAGGCGCCATACCCATACCACCGCTAGCCGTTCGTAACATCGCTGAACTCAACGAAAGTATTCAAAATTTCACGGACTTGTTGTGCGACAAAAAGATCATCATCACGCACAAAGCAAGCGATGGCACATTGGATGTAGTTCAATCTCGGCCGCGGTTATCCTTCTGCATCGACGCTACATATCTTCTTGTTGGCTGCCTCGGAGGCCTTGGTCGTAGCTTCATGTCATGGATGATGAAGCATGGAGCGCGTAACTTTGCTTTCCTATCAAGATCGGGCAAGGATACTCAGCAAGCGGCTATCCTTGTGGAAGACCTGGAGACACATGTGCAGGTTTTTAGAGGCGATGCTGCGATCAAGGGAGATGTAGAAAACGCTGTTCGCTCAGTACCAGTAGATCGGCCCATTCGTGGTGTGGTCAACGCGGCTATGGTTTTGAAGGTAAGTGGAACTCTCCCGAGTGAGGACGAAAGGGCTTCAGCAGGAGCTGTAATTCTTATGGTACTATTCTTCCATGATGCTAACAGGAATGCAGGACAGTCTCTCTCACAACATGACCTTTGAGAATTGGACTACATCAATCCGACCAAAGGTCCTTGGCAGCAAGCACCTTCATGAAGCCACATCCGGCCTAGACCTCGATTTCTTCATCATGACGAGTTCAGTGTCCGGTATTCTTGGAACACCCGCTCAGACTAACTATGCCGCTGGAAACTCGTACATGGATGCTCTTGCGCGGCTGCGCAGATCTTAAGGCAATTCCGCATGCGCTTTGATTCTTCCCATGGTTCTCGGCGTTGGCGTCGTAGCCCAGAACCTCGGGCTCAAAGAGTCGCTCAAGTTGAAGGGCATGTACGGTATCGACGAGGAGGCGCTACTAGATGCTTTCCAGGTCGCCATCATTGAGCAAAAGCATCAAACGCAGAATCAAAGCGAACACATGAATCACCTCGTTGTCGGTCTAGACGCAGCGGAGCTATGCAAAGCAAGCCGTCAGGCCGAAGGCGAGGTGGACGCCTTTTGGTCCGCCGATCCGCGCTTCTCGACTCTCATGCACACGATGAACGTCTACAGCGGTGGGGACAAAGAGGGTGAAGACGAAGCAGGTTCTATTGTGCAGAGCCTCAGAGCAGCTGGAACAGAATTGCCAGCGAAAGTAGTTCGCCTAGTGTGTGATCACTTCATTACCAAGCTAGCGCGTGTCCTGTTAGTTAAAGAGATGGAATGGGGTCAAGAGAATAACGCAGAGCGCTCTATTGCAAGCTATGGCGTGGACAGCATGATCGGAGCAGAGCTGAGGAATTGGATATTTAAGGAATTGGCCCTGGACATCGCTTTCCAGCAGCTATTGAGTCCTTCGCTTACCATTACAAAATTCGCTGAATTGGTGTGTAACGCTCAGGGTATCATCGTTCAAGAAATCTAGAAGGTTAGAAGGACAGTAAGAGTTGGTACCGCGAATTGAATTTACTATCGCTGGGAAGTCTGTTTTATTAGCCTAGATCTATGTCCTTCAGATACAGTTCCAATACGAGAGTGTCTTCGAGAGTGTCTTCTTCGCGTAATGTAAACCTATATCTTAGGAAGCAGATTATTACAGTGCTTAGCTCTTCATATTAGGAAACTGATAGGCTTTGTTAAAACAATGCATATTATCTGTTAGAACTCTAGGCTTATAACAATACTGCTACTATTAGAACATGTTTCTGACATGTAATTTAGGAACGTAGGTATGTCTTTTGGTTTTCTAAGAGTAAAGAAAGAAGACTTCATAGAGCTAAAGAGTCGAACCCATTCTTCTCGTCCCATTCCTGCAGCTTAGCTCTAACATCAGCAACGCACTGGTGCCAATATCCGTCCGATTCCTCAATATGGTCTAGAGCCGCGAAAAGCAATCTCGCCGAGGCCATTACACCATTCACTGCATCGCGGACTCCTCCATGTACGAGTTCACGATGCAACGCCCTGAGTGCCATGGTCAGGGGCCAGGCAATAAATATTGCCTGCAGCATGATTATATCGCTGTCCGCCTTCCAGGGCGATGGCAGATTCATACCTACAGCGCTACAGATCTGGAATGCGGCAGTAATAGCACGGCGTTGACTCTCGGCTATCATCATTGGCGGTAGTCCTTGTTCCTCGCTCTTTCGGATCGCTGAATCGTGCGAGAATATCTCGGTAGCGCGCAGGTTCAGATAGAGGCTGAAGGCGACTGGATCTTCACGAATGGATGTGGCGTTCAGATGACGTTTGAGTATGATGAAGAGATCATCGGTCTTCTTAACTATGGCGCAGTAGTCGTCCCAAAAGCCTGGCGTGTCACGTTGTTGTCCGTGGTCGAAGCACCGCAGGGCTAGCTCGACCATCAGAACGCAGCCTGCGTAAGACGTGATCTCGGGGCCCGGGTTCGATGCTCACCTTGAGCAGGGATGGCATCTTGGGCGGTTCTATATCGGACCTCAACAGCCCCGGTGATGGTAGGTTGATCCGAAAGTTCTATATATCATGTTAATTTCTACACGACATGGAATGAGTTAGAAATGAAGATCGCACCTCAACATCTCCCAGCTGGCATTGCCAACCTGTCCGCGTTCTCACGTAGCTTTGCAGTATGTATAAGCCCCAGAATGTGCGTCGCCGCTCCTCCAATAGCACTGGATCATCTGTGTGCGGCAACCCCAAAAGAGCGCCGCCTTGGGTTTCTCCGCTCTGCATTCCTTCGCGAGACCCTGCTTCGTCCATTCGATGCAACCTTAGAAGATCGCAAAGCATGGCGGCACGTCCTAGCGTCAGCCAGTGTCTCTCTAGCTTCCGATTCATAGCTTCAAACCGGCCTATAAATATCAAGGCCTGCAGTAAGTTCAGATCATTCATATGATCTTCTCGTTCACACTGCTCCGCGAAATTGCGCGCTAGTGTGTAACACGTCGACTGGAGATTGGGATCTTTGTGAGAATGAGTGCAACCAGCAAGGGCAACGGCATATACCAAGGCACTCAATGCAGGGGTTCTACCACTAATTGAATCTACCGCGAATCTATCTCTGTCCACGAATGGAAAAGAATGGTAGACAGATTCGAAGTAGTTGTTGTGCAGCAGACTCAGGTCAGTTGGAGATAGATCTTCCTCGGAGCTGCTTTGGGGCACGGCTGATGCAGGTTGATTGAGGAGTACATTGTCCAATTGTTCAAGCGCCATCAATGGCTGATTTGTCCAGGCAAACGTCATATTGGATTCGACCCCTTCGGCGAACGAGGTAAACAGATCAGTATCCAGGAGAGATGAGCGATTCGTCGGCGAACCAAGAGCGGCACTCATTCCGCTCATGCGATCCATGTCCATTGGAGTGTTAGTAACAGAATTTTCCAAGGCAGAAGTTGCCTGAGAATGTGGATTTGCTGTTGTTTGGAGCTGATACTGTGAACTACGCCGCGAGGATGTGGTTGAGGTCAAGAAATCCGGCGTTGCAGTCCACGTTGACGACATGACTGGCTCCAGGGCTTCTGAACGCGACTGTGGGTGCACCGATGGAGAAGGTCTCGGCCTGTTCAGGGCAAGCTGGGCCTCCGTCTTGGCCAGCCGCTCCTGAAGCTGCTTCAGTTGGTTGTCGCGCGAGCGACGCTGACGGACTTGAATGTAACTACATGGTTGGTTGAGACGGTCGCAACGTCTTGACGGCGAGGTACGCAATGAATTAGCTTTGCTTCACCTAGTTTGACAAGGTTGGGGTATTTGCGATGATCAGCGACGGGTTCTGGAAGACCAACCTGCATTTTGGAAGAGCTCGATCGCACCGGACTTTGCGCTCTCTAATCACGAAGCGGTTAGCGAGGCGTATAAGACCAAGTGGCGCCTGCTATCGCAACCCACATGCAATCTTGCTCAGCGGGACACAGTGGCTGGGAACTTGCCTACAAATCTCACACGCACCCTGTTCCGTGAGCGGTTGGCGGGCGGACGGCGACCTCATCGTGTTGAAAGTTAACGTCTGGAACATCTGGCACGGTCGAATCGCCAACACGGCGCTTCCTCTCTCGCTTTCGCCTCCGGGTATTTAGCGGTTTCTATCGAATGGTTGGCCATCAAGTTAGTGTAAATGGTGTTTTGGAGCTAACGTTAATGAACGCAGGCAGGCGGCAAGGTTGCCGGCATCCTTGGCCGACTGCAAACTCCAAGCCAGCCATCTACACAGTCATCCCTATCTAAGCAAGTCGACACGGACGCTTCTGCCGTCACGAGCGCTGTACGGCTTGGTAAGTCGTTGCGATGCGGTGGAATGAAGCATAGGCTAGCCTCGAACCTGATGAGTGTAACGCAGCTGTCGCGGGTGCCATAGACTCGAGCAACCATTGTCTCGTGTCTAGCATCACGTCATCCCTTCGCAGCTGATCCCCAAGATCGTTACAATCAGTCGAGTACAACAACACCCCCGCAATGCACTATCGTCTCCGAACGGGACGCTTTGCTGCAGATTCTCCGCAACACTGACCTTTAATGCTTCCCTGCTGCTTCCCCACAACCATCCTACTTGTCTTGGGTACTGACTTGGATATAGCTTATGGGGTAATCATCATGAACACCCTATCAGATACGAGAACGGGCATGGAAACGATGGTCAATGTACTTCGTCACATGTCCTTATCGCTGGTGCCCGTTTGCTTACCTACATGACATCTTACCTTGATTGGGGTAGTGGTTAGGATATCTCCCTGCATGCTGCAGGGCTATCACTCAACATGATCAAAGGCTGAAGAAAATTCAGTGATGCAATATAACCGATGGGTACACTTCTCTTTGCGCTCTGAGCTATGGTCACACTATGCCAATCTAAAGATCGTCGCGCGTAGCTTAGTTCGCATAGTCATTGCAATGATACGCTCGCGCTATTCCACATTGCGCTTTTGTATTTGCGCAAAGAAGCCTCTCTGGAAGAAGAACCACAAGTTCTCCACTTCGAATCTTTCACGATCAACTAGTCGAATCTGTCACCGTCAGCAATCTTTCCTCGACGGCATAGATCAGGTCCTTGCCTCGTATGTCAGAACCAGAAATGCTATGAGTTTCTTGATTTCCAGAATACCGACGTGTCGCCCTAGACATATACGCCGTCCAGCACCAAACTGCATTATGTGTCAGTAAAGCAATGACAGCGAGAAGTCCAAAGGATGCCCTCACTGTCAGCATACTGGCTTCCAGGCTCCTCTTATGTGCGGCATCGCCTCCAAGCCATCTCTCTGGACGCCAGAACTCTGCGTCCTCACCAAACATACTTGTGTCTCGATTGACAACGTATGGACTTCCACCAATGACCGTTCCACCTGGAAGAAAGTAACCCAGAACAGTCATGCCACCATCTGGGACTACTCGCTCCAGCGGCAATGCAAATGGCGGATGCACACGGATCGCCTCCTGAACACATGCTTCGAGGTAAGGGAGCTCGCGCACTTCGCTATATGAGGGAAACGGGCGTGATGTCTTGGCCGCCAATAATTCTTTGTACAGTCTGTCAAAGGTGTTTGGGTAAGCGAGGAGATGGTAAAGCATAGTTCGCATGCATGTGCCAACGCTGTCGGATCCGGCAATGACATTGGAGAATGTCCAGGCTGTGGGCGCCCACGGTGGTATGGAGGGGTTGTGCTTTTGCAATTCGATATAGCGTGTGAGGAAGTCGATTTGACCTTCAGATTTACTGGTCTTACTCTCCATTTTCTCCTTCTTCTCCTTGATGGCCTGACCAACAAACGAGAGAATTGTTAGTGATGCGGTGGGCCTTATGTACTGTCGCAGTGTGTCTACCACTACATTCTTTCGAAGTAATTTGTCCAAGAGAGGAGACTGGGTCATCTGCGGTCGTGATTAGTGCGGTCAGATAGATCAATGAAGCTAATCCTCTCACCGGTGCAGCCGTTCTCATGAAGTCAACTATGGCACCCAGCATCCCTCCCACGTCTCTTCCTTTGTCCAAGAAACCATATCGCTTACTGAAGGTCATGGTACCCATGACATCGAAAGCAAAGAACTGCAGCCATTGTCCCATGTCAAAGATTTGCCCCGTGCCAACGAAGCGTTCATCGAACCTGCCGCGGATGCATTCTAAGACCTCATCAACCAACGGTTCCAGAGTTGCGGCACTCGATATGTTGAACAGTGGAGCAATTGGTGGCTTGATTTGTTTCAAGATTGATTCCTCGGTCGTATTGAAGACAGCGTGGAGTGCCTGACCCGAAGTGTAGGGGCGAAGTGTAACATAGAAGTCGCTCTGCATATTGCATCTCGCATTAGTTACATGATGAACAATGCTTTCAGCACGCAAAACCCACCTTTGGCATGCCCGCTCGCATCGGGTATACTTCTGGAATTGCGACAGGATCGCTGAAGGAGACAGTATTGGGTCCAATACGGACGAGTTTCCCATATCTCTCATGGCATTGTTGTAGTTTCAGGTGTGCTCTTGTAGTTTTGACCCAGTTCATGCGGTATAGATCCGTTATGCTAGCTAGGAAGGGCCCAGGAATGTGTCGCAATCGCCACCATGTTCGAGCAGTGTGGGCAGTCACGAACGCGACGATCAAAACTACGGCCACCACCGCCACGCCTCCAGCCATACCGAAGTCAAGGACTAGTACATTTCGATCCATTATGCTCAGCTGATGTGTCGTTGTTACAGCATGCTCCGCAGTGTGAAATCACTGCCTTCCAAAGTTCGATGCGCCTTGGTCAGGCGAGTCATGTTACCACGTTACTTGGGTAGCCAATCAAGTTAGCGGTTATCCTTACGAGCAGCACCAGGTAACCCCGAGTAACGCGATGTGCTACTTGGGGTTATCGCCGTGAACATCGGGTTTTCTGCCCGGCGATTGCTCATACACCGGCCGAGTCGTTAGCGGGAACACTCAGGTCTCGTAGCGCCTCCCTGGAAGTCGAGAAGGTGGTAAATTAAGTCATTGAAACAATTTTCGAGGCCGATCATCCAATCCAACTTCATATTTGAGCTCCAGATTCATGTCTGTCGTCGTAGAGTCCCCGACATTCCTATCCTTACAACAGCTCAGGGATGCAACGCCAGAAGGTGAAAAATATTGGTGGCTAACGAGCGGTCGCGACCTCGCTCGTATGCTCCAAGAAGCAAACTACCCAGTCGAAACACAGCGCCAATTCCTTCTATATTTCAGAGATACTATCTGTCCACGGCTGGGAGGTCGTCCGCAGTCGAGCTCTGTTCGCAGCGGCGTCGGGTGGGATGGAAATCCCTTTGAATACAGCTTCGAACTCCGGAATACGAGCAAGAAGATTGCGGTCAGATTCGTAGTCGATGTTAGTGCACTACGACCCGCTGACGACGCGCACCCGCTCAGCATAGAGAATTTCGAGGCTGTGCTCGATCCACTCTCTAAAGCAACACCTGGATATGACGAAGCTTGGTACACATCGTTGAAGAAATGGTTCGTTCACGCCCATCTCCCCAGTTCGGAACAAAAGGGTCTGATCTCGAAGGTGGGATACCAGATGCCCATGATACTTGGCTTCGACGTCTGTCGGGACCTCCCCACAAAGGACGCAATTCCAGTGATGGCAAAGGTGTACTTCCCTCCATGTTTTACCGCCGCTAGAGAAGGTATCACACGTTGGGAGGCTGTCCGACGTGGAATTCACCAGCTGCCAAACATCGAGGCTCATCCCAACGTTCTTCGCTCTCTCGCCTTGATCCAAGAGTATCTGAACACAAAGCCAAAAGAATACGAAAATGGGCCTCGCTACCTTGCGACAGACTTTGTGATCAAAGACAAGGCACGGCTCAAAATCTACTTCCGACACCCAGCGGTTGATTTCGAGGATATATGGGACTACTACACATTGGGGGGTAGAATTTCAGGACTGGACAACGACAAAGAAACGTTCAGGGAACTTATGGCGTTCACTTCTTACAATCCCGATTCTTCTACGACACAAGACAGTGGCAGAGCGGACTACACGGCAGTCCAGAGGAAGATGACTGCGATCTACTTTTCTCTCTCCACGGAAAACCCTACTCCAGCGCCAAAAATCTGCTTCTATCCAGCCAACTTTGCACTTAATGACAGTGTAATCGGAGAGGGAATTGACGTCTGGCTGAACAAATATGAATGGAAAGACGAAGGTGAATCAATGAAAGAAAAAGTTGAAAAAGTATTGTAAGTATCACGTACCTTTCCGCATTAATGCAGTTCAAGCCATAGATTGACTGGATCAAACAGCACCCATCGTAAACTCACTGAAGACAAGGGGATATTTACATTTCTGGGAATTGGGAGGAAGGAAGATGCAGCAAAGAAGGATCTAAGCATGCAGGTTTATGTTACTGGAGAACTGTATCAATCCCCGCGGATGTAGAGATCAATATAGCTCAGAGTTCACTGAACAGTGATTGAGCTGGACCCAAGTGTACAGACACCGTAGTGTATCTGCAAACGCTACTGTAGTAATCACAAACCCAACCCGTATTGTGTATGCAACTCGGCACTGGGTATGCAGACGCTGACGCACCGTTATGGCTGCCAAGTACAAAAGCCCTAAGGGCTCCCAAAAAAAACTTTCAATATCATGACTGAACACTCATGCACCGTGTGTCTTACATAAAAGCGAACGCGGATTGACAGCATCCCCGAGGCAGGCTTAAACATGTCGCAACCTCCTTTCTCTGCTCAGTCCATCGCAGCACCCGCGCTAGGTGGTACCCATCCCATGACCACTGTCGACGTTCGAGTAATTGATACTCAGTGTCTTCTCCGACTCGATCCCAAACTATTCTGGCAACCATCTCTGGACGGTTTTGACGGTCTTGACGCGCCAGTTTACTGCTTCCTCATCACCCACAAGGACACTCATATGGTCTTTGATTTGGGTGTACGAACGGATTGGGAGAACTATCCACCCAATATTGTATCTCTGATCAAAGCGACGACGCGTATAACACCTGGAAAGGCTGTGGCTCACATTCTCGACGAAAGCAGTGTTGTGCGTAGTGACAATATCGACACCGTTGTGTGGTCGCATAACCACTTCGATCATATCGGCGATATCGCAACTCTGCCACAAGCAGAATTGATCGTGGGTCCGGGTGTACGCGACACGTTGTTTCCCGGCTGGCCGAACAATCCAGATAGCCCTGTCAAGAACAGCGACATGCAGGGGCGTTCAATTCGTGAGATTGTATTCGACGGAAAACTCAAGATTGGGGGGTTCGACGCCGTAGATTTCTTCCAGGATGGGTCATTATTCTTGCTGGATGCGCCGGGTCATGCGTTAGGCCACATGTGTGCACTCGCGCGAACAACACCAGATTCATTCGTCTTCATGGGTGCCGATGCATGTCATCACCCTGGTTGCCTAAGGCCTACGAAGCATCTCAACCTCCCAGAGTCGGTACTAGCTTCGTTGCAAGGCAATTGTCCTGGAGATATTCTTCAAACGGTGAAAAGTTTTAGGATGAGTTCAAGTTCGCCAGTATTCACTGTGGCGGAGGGTCCGCTCTTTCCCGATCGCGAGTCGGCTATGAAAACAGTCGAAAAGATCCACTGTCTTGACGCGAGCGAGGAGGTTTTTGTCATCTTGGGACATGATAACTCTCTGAGAGCACGGATACCAATGTTTCCGGACAAGATCAATGACTGGAAGGCGAAGAATCTACGGTCTGAAACAAGGTGGTGCTTTTACGAGGATTTCAAGAATGTGCGATTCTCTTAAACTATGTCTGTCCGCATTGGAACCCTCACCTCGGCGTAACTCAACTAGTTATCTAAGCCGTGGATATGGTTGTTAAGAAGTCTTGATGAAATCATGCTACATGTGAAAGCAAGAACTCATAGCCTTGACAAATTACCTTCTGCGTATCCGATCGTTTCCGATGCTCACTGTACATGTCGAAAAGGTGAGGAACTCCATCCACAACTTGTAAGTGACTCTCAATGCCCTTGTTTCGAAGAGCGTCATGCATCCGTTGCGCCTGTTCCCAGGGAATCAGATCATCATTTCTTGGATGCACAATGAATGTTGGGGTACAGTAATTCCCGTGGCGGACTTGGGCCAACGGACTGACGGCCTGAATCTCCTCAGCCGTCGGAGCCTGTGGTTCCTTTTTAGTGCGAACGTCGAGGCCGCGAAGAAGAACATGTAATGTACGACCATGCCAATTCATGTAAAGTGCCAGCCTGCTGCGTGCGTCTGTGGGTGCCATCCATCCTCCCAGGGCTCGTTTCGAGGGTGGAACATTCCATCGCGTCATCGCCCTATCGCTCACAGCAGTCCAGACGCTCCCGTCTAACTCATAAGACGTGGCGCTTTTCGATCCGATGGGAATATTTGGCTGTAACCAGAAATCATCTTCGTAATCCAGAGGACAATAGAAGACAAGAATGGCTTTCGGTGGATTTATGCCTCGATCTATGCTGGTCCATCCCAGCGAAAGAGCTAGGGTTCCACCGGTAGACCAGCCAACGCTTATGACACGGCTGCCGTCGACTTCAATATCGCCCCGGCGGAGTCGAATATTCGGAAGCACCTTTTGTACCCAGTTCAATGCATCTGCCACATCGGCCATAGGCCCTTCAGTCAAGGTCACTTCGGGACAAAGTCTGTAGTCTACGCTTATTGGAAGAAACCCGTGCTCTAACAACAGCTGTGTTTGAGCTGGGCGAATGTCGTCTTTGGAAAGCATTATATGCCCGCCCCCATGTATCATGAGTGCTGAATTATATTAACGAAGGTCTTCGTACTCAGGTTTCTATGAGCTCACCTACAGGAAGGGGCTTGGAAGAGTGGGCCATCTTGGCAGGATAATAAAGATCCGCCTCAAGCTCCAAGCCGTCCACCTTTTTGAAGACTAATGTCTCTTTTTGAACCGGAGCGACCACGTGGTCGAAAGGAGATGCCGTTATGACACGCAGGAGAGCTGACTCTCTTGAAGCACCTTCACTCCAGTCTATCCACTTAAAGGCAGCCTTGCGCAAGTTTGTCTCCCACAGTCTTTCATCGGCCAGTACATGGCTTCGCCCATCATTGAAAAGCCACCACCCGCTCAATAAGCCGAAGACTAGATCAAACCAGAACAGGTTTCTCGTGAGCTCCACCAGACAAAGTATTCCATCAGGCTTAAGCATTTGTCGGATGTGTTCTGTAGACTTAGACAGGTTCTTAGTTGCGTGTATGCAGTTCGTGGAAAGAACAATATCGTAATGGCCTAGAAGCTGCTGAGTCGGCGTCTGCTCGATATCCAAAACGTCGTAGCGCATGAATTTCCACTTGGCAAACTTGCGGCGTGCCGATGCTACCATCGACGACGAAAGATCGCTGAAAGTGTAGGTGAGATTAGGACTGCAGCCAGCGTTGGCAAGTTCAGAGATGATTGCTTTCGTTGTGCCTCCTGTACCGGCTCCTAGTTCTAAGATATTGAGCTGGCGACCGCTGTCCAGGCGTTTGATGATACTGGAAAGATACTCCGCTAATAGTAGTGTACCTGCTTTGAACATCGGCGCGTTTGTGTAGACGTCCTCCAACAGTCCTCGAGCTGATGAGTCTCGAAAAATCAGGGATATGGGGTCGGCAGCACCGGACAAGCAGTCTGCCAGTCTGCTCCCGGTCTTATGTAGTAGCTTAGTCTCCGATGTGTGCTGAGGGTATTGGCTCAGTAGATCGTTGTACCAAGTCGAAGCTGGAATGGACGTCAATGGTGATCTCGTGCGCTGATATGCCCCCTCTTCATTCTTGGCAATCAACCTGGCATCTTCGAGGATTTTGTACAATTGGGGGATTAGCTTCCGCTGTGTGTCAACATGTGAGATTATGGGAATATCTTGCCCGACGTTAAGGCCTTTGAGGTCGCATCCTAGTGCTGCGAAAGCATCGAGGACATATTGAATGACAAGCTGTGATTGCATCAAAAACGGCCCTGTATAGAATGCTGACAGCCCTGTGGTCTGTGCGTGCGCATCGTAAGAATATTTAACAGCAGAGAAACATTCCTGAACCACGTGTGCAAAGTCGCCTGAGCCTTCTGTTACGACCTCGACACTCTCCTGTGGCATGGCGGCGTTATCAAGAGCTTCAGTGGCTATAGATGGACTTGCGATTTCTGACTTTGCATGGGGTTCCAGCACACGAGACAGAGACAGTACGTTGTTACAGCTCAAGATCTCCTCCTGAGTGACTCGAATCTTCAATCGTTGTTGGATCTCCCATACCACCTCAGTAATCAACAAAGAGTCGATACCGAGATCGTCGAGACTTGAGGAGGGTTGGATGTTATCGACGGGGACTTCGATGATGTCACTCAACAGAGCCCGTAGTTGATGGAGAATATCCCATGGCTGTTGGACCACCGTGAGATTATCGCTTTGCATGGAGCCTTGGTGTGGTCTTGGAGACGGAGTGGATATCTGGGAGTGGTAGCCAGAAAACGTGGAAGATTCCGTCGCTTGTTTATGCACGATGGGTATTGCACCATCCAGCTGATTCAGCCGAGTAAGTGTGCGGGCTAGAGAATTGAAAGACACACTTCGGAATGTGGCTCCTAAGATGGCCGCCATCAGCGTGTCGGTTGCATCAAAAACGAAGATGTTGTTTACGAGTGTTCCGTGCTGACCGGTCTCGTAGCACGTATATACCTTCCAGCCCTGGGTATCTGTCGTTGTGGCTGCAAACGATGGCGCTAAGATTACTTCATCGACAGCAGTACACATGAAGACTTCGCTGTTTTGACGAGGCGAGAGGCAATTCACGTGGATTCCGGCTACCTGGAGGAAATTGTCGAGTTCGATGGGTTTGCTGACAGTGGATTTCCAATCGAATCGGTTTGCATGATCGGAAAGATCTATCAAGCCGACTGCTTCATTACCAAGAGCACTCACTGATCTGACCCCTCGGTAGTAGGCGGCGTAGTCTACGATCTGGGAGAATAGCTGGTACACGATATTCCCACGAATACTGGTCGCAGTTGACGACCTGAAAATACGGTCCATACTTGAGCTAGAAACCATTTTCTGAAGAAGTTTCAAGCGCGTTTCAACTATGATGTCCCCGACGCTAGGCAGGCTAATCGTACCTCTGCCATGCTCCGTTCTCTTGGACATTGTCTCGCTGCAGATAGAAAATCTCCACGAGGCAGATGTCTCTTCTGATAGGTTGATGAAGAGCTTGACTCCCAGTCCCAAAGGCGCAGACATGACTAAATTTTCGATATGTGGAAGGATGTTGACTTCCGATTGTGAATTCAGAAGTAACAGTGCGCTCTGGGTTGCCAGCTCGATGTACATGGAAGCAGGGCAGAGACTCTGACCAGCCACAGCATGACCGCTTGTCGCCAATTTAAAAACGGAGTTTGAAGTGTTTACAGTGAACGAATACTCTCCATCTTTACCACCATCACCGGATATGGTCACAAGATTCGAAGTTGGGGGATCTGACGGTTGTATGAGGTGCGTTGTGGCATCGCGTAAGTTGTGCCTGTACTGGATCCAGTGTTGCGTCTGCTCGAATTGATAAGGCGGAAGATCAATGAGCTCGCTGTTTCTTTGATCATGAGCAGGCCAAAATGGAATCCTGAACTTGCATCCGGCCATCCAAAGCTCGCAACATGTGTTTGCCAAGTTCGCTGTAGCATCGGTTTTCCCCAGATCTGTGGCAAGAAATCTGTGCGCCTTTTCAGATTGAGCTAGAATGCGTCTAGTCATGGAAATTATTGGGGTTCCAGATCCGGCTTCGAGCCATATGGCAGTCGGAAGACGATCCGCCACCCTCTGAACAGCTTCTGAGAAATACACCGGCTGTCGCGTATGTGCAACAATCTCTGATGCCGTAAAGGAATTCCAGCTCATGCCTTGAGAGCAAGTCTCGATGCGAATTTGAGGTGGACGAATGGTAATGCTTGCAGCGACATTCTTGTAGTCGTCGAGAATGCTATCAGCCATGTAGGAATGGTATGCGTGCGTATTGAATAAGCGAGCAGTGCGGAACATCTTGCACTCTTCCTCTACCCAGTTGATAGAGTGTGTATCTCCAGCCAGGACGAAGCTACGAGGACCATTGTAGCAGGCGACGTTTATGCGACAGCCATCCTGTGCTTTAGCGCGATCTACCAGGCCTTCTGCATCCGCTCGGTTGCACTCAATCGAGAGCATAGCACCACAGTCCAAACCCCAATTGTCACGAACTAGTCGAGCGCGCCCAGCGATGAGGCGAAAAGCGTCCTTTAGAGTAATGGAGTTGGCAACACATAGCGCCGAGATCTGGCCGAAACTATGCCCAATCAACGAGTCCACTTTCACACCACAATCGAGCCAGGTCTTAGCATAAGATACCTGCATTGACAGTAGCATACAGTGAAGCTGGATGAGGTCGTCTATCGGTTGACCAGAAAACATTTCAGTCAAGACACTAGGGAGTTCGAGTTCTTGACATATGGCTTCACATTCATTCTAAAATCAATGTCAGCACGATACAGTGTCTCCACAGTTGATGAAGTCTTGATGTCTGAGAGTGACTAACCAAATGAAGGCGAAGTATTGAACTCGCTTCGTACAGTTCTTTCGAAAAAACCACTGTGCGTCCAGTCTGGCCACCGAATACCAGTATGATTGAACGTGGTACTGCACGTGTAGCAACAGCATCATTTTTGTGACCCACACTATCCAGATCAGAGACCAAGTCTCGAGCTGTGCCAGTCGATACAGCTGCTCGATACTCAAATGACGGATTCTGATGTCGCATAAGAGCAGAAGCCAGATCCTCGACGGAGACGTGACGTCTCAATATGAAGCGCTTGAGTTGATCCAGATAGTTGATCAAACTGATGTGCGATTTCGCAGAAATAACAATGGGACAAATTGACTGGTTCGGCGTTGCGGGGAAGTGATTGTTCGAAGGCACGGAGTACAATAGCAGCATTGTTCCCAGAAGCGCCGTAATTGTTGAGCAAAGCCACCGGCTGCGATGATCTCCACTCTCGCGTTACCTCAGGGACTTGAATTCTATCTGATGCCTTGATCCGGGGATTAAGAGTCGCGAAATTGGCTTGCTTGGGTATGGTCTTCCGTAACATCATTAGGATATTACTTTTATAATGCCAGCAGCTCCAGAAGCTGCTTCTGCGTGACCGATGTTGTCCTTGACAGACCCAAGAAATAGCGTATCATTTCGCCCACTGGCAAGAGCAAGACTTACGCTTTCGTATTCAATAGGGTCACCGACTTGAGTTCCTGTTCCATGGGCCTCGACATAGTGCACGTTGTTCGGTTCGATGCGAGCCGTGGAAAGAGCACGTCGATATAAAGCGCACTGTGACTGAGAGTCGGGAACTGTAATGGAGCTGAGATTTGAACCCTGATTCACAGCAGAGCCGGCAATGACGGCAAGGATGTTGTCGCCCGCATCTAGGGCCTTAGACAAGGGTTTGAGTACGATTATGCCGGCTCCCTCGCCACGAGAGTACCCAGCTGCAGATGCATCGAAAGCGCGGGAGGATCCGTTGGGGTTGAGGAAAGAAGCCGCCGCCAGGTTTTGATGAAGATTGGGGCTAGTAATAACGTTCACACCTCCAGCAATTGCGATCGCACAATCTCCTGCAAGAAGGGCCTATCAAAACTCAGTTAGATGAAAGCATCGTGGTACAACAAGAACACACCTTGCACGCAGTGGAAATTGCCACCGCAGAAGATGAGCACGCCGTATCAAAGGTCATTGAAGGGCCGCTCCAACCAAAGAAATGGCTGATGCGACCTGCGATGAAAGCTCGTAGTGTTCCGGTTGCAGAAAAGGCGTTCGCATTTTCGGACGCAACATTGCCTTCGTAATCGACAGCACCGACACCGAGGTAACAACCTACATCTTTCTCTTGGTCGGAGATGGGTAGACTATTGTATCCTGACGTCTCCATGGCTTCGTAGGCTACCTGCAAGGCTAACCTCTGTTGCGGATCCATCGATTTAGCTTCGCGGCCCGAGATGCCAAAAAAACGGTGATCGAAGACATCAGGGCGTCGCAAAAAATTGCCCCAGAATATTGGCAACTTGGGTTCTCTCCGTAGATCAGATGGGTCGAAACGATCCAGAGGCAATGTACCGAATGCTGTTCCACCAGAGCTGATGAGTTGCCAAAATTCCTCGAGGGTGTCGGCTTGAGGAAAGCGGCAGCTCATACCAATGACAGCAATTTCCTCATTGGTATGCTTTTCGGGGGTTTGCGGAGGCACAGGCTTCACTCCAGAGAGTGATCGCGGAATGTGAGACTCTAGGCCCATTGAAATCAGTTTTACATCGTTGGGAAGATCTCTCATCGCTCTTTTGACTGTCTCGAACCAGTGGGCGCGCTTGCACAAGATCAAGTCGATTGCAATGTCATGGAGAGCTCCGCTCGAGACCAATTCGGTATCTGCAGTGGATCGAAGAGGAAGAGTTAGCAGCTCAGTGGAAGGTAGTTGCAAGTCCGGCGTCCTAGCACAGAGTGTCTTGAGCTGCTGAGCGACGCCGATGTGTTTCGAGTGGTGATAAGAGCCATTCAGAGCAACAACTTTGACAGATATCGATTCCCGCTCAAGACGTCGTGTCAAATCCTCCAGGTAGTGATGTGGTAGTGTGACAGTAACAGCACGATCATCAGTGATACATGACGTGTACGCTTGTGGACATGATTCTAGTACTGCATCCAAAACTGTCCGTTCAGAAAGTTTATTGCAGCGAACGGATATGACGGCAGCTCGGTCTGAAGAAGATTGAGCCGCATTCTCGGCATCGACAAGCAATCCAAGACAAGCAGCTAGTCGAATAGCGTTTGCAATGTAAAGTTCAAATTCGCTTCGGCTCCGGTTTTGAGTGGAGGAGATGACAGCAGCACTCAGAAACCCGATGCAGAAGCCTTGAACAACATCTACGTCGCCACGATCCGCAGCATAGCGAATCCAATCTACTGCCTGAGCCACAACCGTCAAGACGGCAAGTTGAGCGTTGCTGAGTGTGTCTGGTTGCGGAACGCTTGTTCCTTGTGCGAATGCCGTCAGCGGCCCCACGCTTTGTGTAACCTTGGTGCTGCCGAGCGGCGTAGTCGCTAGGAAAGCCTCCAGTTGGCTCACACAATCCCGCAGGAAATGCAGAGTTGGATTGGTTCGAACGTGAGATTGCAGGGTTTGGAGACGGGGATAAGTCCAGCGCCCTTGTTGGGGACCAAAAAGCACGAGGTTGGTCAAAGAAGCCATAATTCTGGATACGGCGTCCAGCCCGTCCGTCTGCGCAAGCTAGTCAGTATATCAGCCAGTCGGCAGCAGAACCTGCATGCGAGACCACCCGTGTCTCAGCCAGATCGCCAACCCCGAGTAGACACAAAGAGCCTGAACTGAGTACACGGCTGCAACGGCGGAGTTAGCAGCAACTTATGACAAAGCCCGCTATCTCCGAATAGTCGCTACAATCATGCGGCACTGTCAACCATACTTGAAGGCAGGGTGGATTTGGAGTCTGTTGGACGAATACATACCTAGCTTTGACTTATTATCCCTGCTCGATAACCTACGCACTCAATCTACCATCAATTAATCATGGCCTCCAAAAAGCTCACATGGCTCATCACTGGCTGCTCATCGGGATTCGGGCTCTCTTTGACACGCGCCGCACAGGCAGGTGGCCATACTGTGATTGCAACTTCGCGCAAACCATCCAAAACTCCGGAGCTGGTAGCGGAGGTTGAGGGCAATGGAGGAAAATGGATCCAACTAGATGTTGACAGCCCACAGAGCGGCGATACAATCGCTGAGTTGGAGAAGGATGGCAGCAAGATTGATGTACTCGTCAACAATGCTGGGTTCTCTATCTACGCGCCAATTGAGACCATGACCGACGAGGAGATGCGCGCGCAGATGGAGACTATGTACTTTGCGCCCCTCCGTTTGATCCGCGCAGCTCTGCCCTACATGCGTCAACGTCGCTACGGAGTCATCGTCAACATGAGCAGTGGTGCTTCGTTGGACGGCATTCCGACCATGGGCGTGTACGGAGGTGCCAAGGCTGGCTTGGATGGCAAGTAGCCTTTAATCCCTTGGCGTCCGTACCCAGCATAGCCACTGCTAATGATCGATCATAGCGACAACTAAGATGCTTGCCAAAGAGGTTGCACCCTGGAATATTCGGACGCTCACTGTTGTCCTAGGCACCTTCAACACCAACATGCCAAACAGCGTCATCCTAGGCAAGACGCCACTGCCCGACGACTATAAAGGCACATTCACGGAGCAGGTCCAGCAACTCCTCGTCGGTGGCAAGATAAAGCCCAACGGTGACAAAGATAAGGCGATGAAAGCTGTGTATGAGGCAGTTGTAGGCGAGGGTTCGGGCCAGGGTAATGAAGGCGAGAAGTTGCTTCCCCTCGGAAGTGACATGACGCCGCGTCTCAAGGCAGTTCAAGACTATCTCGGTCATGCCTTGGAAGTCTATGGGTCAGTGACGAACGGTGTTGATGTGGATAAATGAGCAACGCTGCATGTTTAGCCGAGGGACTTGTCGATCTAAAGTAGCGCCATTGAAACCATCATGATGAGTACGAGCCTTTCATCTCTGATCTAAAGATGTTGGTGTTGCTTGCCAAGTACGCTAGTTCATCAGCGTCGGACTAATGTATGTAACACTACCCGGGCAAGCCTATCCATCCCATCTTGCCTCTCCAGCTCCGATTAGAATTCATCATGCACCCCCCAACCGATCAACAGTCGAAACCAGATCCGAAAATGTTGTTGTCATGAATACGAGCTCGGCACATGTACATCAATTGCTAAGCCAATTCTGCCTCAATGATGCTCTGGACAGCCAGTGGTGAGGTCCAGATCTTGACTATCTTGTACCCCTCGGACTGCAACAACTTTTCCCAGTCACTTTCTGTACGCTCCGTCCCCGCCACCATCACCATCATTGTGAGATCATACGCCGTTGAGTGAGGGTGTGCCTGTGCTCGAGGAGCGATATGATCGTGTATGAGAAGGCTGCTATAACCCGGCGTAAGGGCATCTCGCTGCATCGCTAAGATCTTGCCCGCGGGCGCGTCGGACCAGTCGTGCAGTACGCCATGCATGTAGTAGGTACGCGCACCCTTTACTGGTTGCGGTGTAAAGAAGTCATATGGCATCTTGTGGACCGGGTCTGGACATTTAGACAGTCTCACAACTTCAGGGCGATCCTGGAGATACAGACGACTAGCGATTTCGGGATGCGCTGCACGGAACCTTTCCATATCGTGGCCAATGTTCCCGCCCACATCGACTACCAAGGGGCCATCTGCAAGGGCTGTTTCCAGTACACGCTCGTGGGGGTATATCTCCAGCCAGCCTGCTTGTCTCGCCATGACCCCACCCATGATATGATTGAAGGACTCGCCCTCGCGTGGGTGAGACGCGTAGTAATCGAACATGTCGCCTTTACAGCTTTTGGTATACTGGAAGACGCCATTTGCTGGATCCAAGGGCACCTTGTATTGGTTTTGAGCAAGATACTCTGGCAATTTGTAAAAGCATGGTAGAGTAGCATCGTACCTATTTGTCGCCTGGTGTTAGCTAAGGTCTTGTTACTGGAGCAGGTGAATGTAGGGTCTTACAGGTGATGAATCCACTCTCCAAACACTGGGTCCAGGAGCGACTTGGTAAATGGGGTCGGGTCAAAAATACCGATGGATGTTTCATTGAGCATGTTGCTCGAAGCTAGGTGACGGACGAAGCGTTCTATATCGTTCTTTAAGCGTTTTACTCCAGTCTTATATTCATGGAACACCCCTACCTAACAGAGCAGCTTCGCATTGTACGAGCTCTGCCAATTCTGTCGAACTCATGGATTTGTCCCCTACATCGTGCCATCTCTCGAATAATTGGAGGTCCATACACACTTTCAGTGTCGCTCCTAAAGCTGGCTGTCGAGAGTCATCAGTCTTGTTAAAAACCCGCTCTCTCGTATGCTAATGCGTACCTGACCCATGCAGAGGCGAGCTGTAGTCTCCCATGGTGTCTCCAGTCGAGCCACCAAAGCGTAGGCTGCTAGAAGAGCCTTGGACCTCTGGCTCTCATCTTTGAGGGAGCTGAGCGAGATCTCGTTGAGAACGTTAACAATACTAGTATGCTCCTTCATTTTGCCCATAGTTCTGATATCTCGACAATAGGTTCGGTCTTGTGGACATGCTCCTTTGTTAGGCCACAAAACGCACTCCATGCGCGCATGCAGATTGTGATACCCTGTCGGCTTCAACCGACTCTTGCCCCGACCCTGACCCCGGTTGATCACACCTCAGCCCCGAGTATAATTTTACGCATTACATTTTGAGACCTCCTTATGGCGCAATGCACGAACCAAGAGCTCCTGTCTAGGAATTGTAATGGCTTTCGGTACGCTGCTCACCTTGGTTGCTTGTGCGCTATTCTTTCGGTCTTTAGCTAGAATCTTTGTCCACCCACTTCGTCATGTGCCTGGACCCATCTTTGCCTCCACCAGCTCACTATTCCTTTACACAATTTGCTATCTTGGAGTGGAAGGTCGCGTTATCAGGTCTCTCCATCACCGGTACCGCAGTGATGTACTCCGCGTGGGTCCGAACAGTGTCTCCATAGCTGACAGCAGCGCTCTCCACGATATATACGTTTCCGGGGGTGGCTTTCCTAAAGACTCTCGGTATAGCAACTTCAACCTAGGCCCTATCGTATCAATCTTCTCCTCTACCGACACTATCTACCGCGACCGTAGAGCAAAGGCTGTTGCATCCCTCTTTGCCCCTAACCGCCTTCGCTCGGCCTGTGAACACGATCAGGTCATAGGGATATCAGTTTCCCGATTCATCCATCTAATTCAAGAACACAAGAAAGAGCGTATATCCTTCGACCTTGTAGATATATGCGCACGTCTCTCCATTGACGTCGTGACTGAGTATCTGCTCGGAGAACCATACGGCGGCTTCAGAGAGATCGACCACCTCTCTCCACGAGACCAGCAGTATCATAAGCTGAGCGCAAATCCCTTCATATTTGCCATCGTCGCCTTTTCTCGATTCTCCCTTCTCCCTAAATGGCTTTTTACAAGAGTCTACTCTCTATCTACGAGGCTGGCCTCGGATGATGAAGTGAAACAATCATTTCGCAAGCTCGATTCATTTATCTCGGGGGTCATGTCTCGTCTTGAAGACAGACCTGACCATAAAGCCGATCAGACATACCAGTCACGTCTTCTGGCAGCAAGGCATCGACCCTTCGGAGGTAGCTGCACAGTGCAAAGCTGTCACATTTGCTGGGGCAGACTCTACGGCTGTAATTCTAACCACGATCATATTCCATCTGATTGTCAATCCCAGTATCTGTCGCATCCTCATCGCTCAGCTCGAGGCTCATCAGAAGGCTTCCACTGGCCCCCTCGACCCTGAAACTGTTCCATATCTCCGTGCGGTTGTCAAAGAAGGCCTTCGTTTGGGCATGGCCAACCCCACCCGACTCACCCGTGTCGTTCCACCATCGACTGCCTTGAACGTTGAGGGATATGCTATACCAGCTGGCACTGTCGTCGGCTGTGCTGCATACACCCTTCACCATGACCCAAACGTGTTTCCAGAACCCTTTGAGTTCAAGCCAGAACGTTGGATAGAGAATAGATATGATAGAAACCCATTGAGACTCAAAATGGAGATGAATATGATGCCGTTTGGGGTGGGCTTAAGAGGGTGTATTGGAAAGAACTTGGCAATGCGACAATTGTACGAAACCATCTCGGCTGTATGTTCCACTGATACAGGTCTTCTAGAAGGTGCGAGGATCAAACAGCAGCACATAGAAGTAATTGAATGGTTCAATGGAGAAATAAAAGGACATCGTCTAGATGTGCATTGGGAATAAATATCTGTGATAGCTCTAAGATCTTAGCAAAGCTTTATCCGAAATTGAATTGAATACTTTCTGATTTCTATAATACCAAAGAAGAGATACGTTTGCGTTATAAATGAATGTATTCGTACTAAAAGGCATTGAAAGAGTAGCGATTGATTAGAAAGCAAGCACGAGAACTGTTTATACGCTCTAATGATCTTTCTTCATGACATCCGCTATCTTCTCGGCTAGCATATCTACGCAAATTAGCAACGTTTTAGTTTGGTGGCTAATATTACTCACAGATCGCAGATTGCGGTGCCTCGCCTGGAGGTAGGAATGGGACTGCGGAACCATCGATGACTCGCACTGTATTGGACGTCAGCACATCAGCTACAATACCAGGGCATTGGCCACTCACAATTCTTAACTCCCAGCACTTTACATTGGCTGTCTACAACCGCAAGAGGGTCGCTCTTCTTGCCCATCTTGTTCGTCGAAGTTGCATGGGACATCGGCGTCGCTGTCTGTTTGAGGAACGCGACAATGTCTTCGTCTGTCTTTACGGAAGGCCCAGGCCAAGCCTCATCGCCGACAGTAATTTTCTGGATTGCGGTGCCCGTCCAGATTTGCCGCATCCGCTTGAAAATAGCAACCATGACCTCCAGGTCAGCCTTGGTGGTCAACCATGCGGGGTCAATAAGTGGTGCATCGCGCATGCTGGAAGAAGCGATTCTGACATTACCGCGGGATGTCGGGGTCATGAGTGTGCCCATCAGACTAGCATAGTTATGACCATCTTTTGGGGGAATCGTCGTGCCGAGATCGCCAAGGAACTGGGGAAGTGATAGGTATTGGATCTCAGGCCAGTCCTTAGGGAAGGAGTGGAGAACTTGCGTACTAAATTAGCTCCATTCTCTGTGTTTAGACAGCTTGAGGGTCGTGTGGAGGCTGTTAACTTACTTTGTGCCGTATCTTTAGAGAAACCTAAGCGCAGATCGGCTGGAATCTTCTCAAACCCACCAAACTCTCCTCCGGGGTTGCTGAGAGGCCCAGTGGCATTTTTCTGGTATGTGTTGATGTCTGCCTCAGTTATGCCCAAAGTAGACCCGGTTGGCAGGTTGACTCGATAAACAATGTCTGCAAAGACTTGATCGTGCATGTTTTGACCAACGCCCAGGTCGATCAGCTATTACAGGAATATGGTACTTTTTCCAAAAGCTTCTTGGGCCCCACCCCAGATACCTGCAGTAACTGCGGGGACATAAATACGCCGCCGGCGATAATAACCTCCTTGTTGGCTCGGATAATAGACGTTCCGTTCTTGGAGCTGACCTGTACACCTGTGGCAACCTTTTTGTCATTAAAAATGATACGTTCAGCCAGAGTATTGTCAAAAATTGACAGTGTGCTCTTCTCGAGAATGGGCCGCAGATAGCCGACGTCCGCTGAACAACGAGTACCCGTAGTCTGGTCGACTGCCGACATGTGCCAGGCAGAGCCATTCAGGGTTCCATCCATAAAACTATTGGTGGATTTCAACCCTGCAGCATCCAACATGGTAGCAAGCCAGGTGGTCCAGCTATAAGCGTAGGCTGCATAAGTTACACCAATCGGACCGCTTGAGCGGACCTGAGTGGGGTCATAAGAAGGAGTCGCATTTGAGAAACGAGTGTTGGGACGAGGCGGAACAAAACGAACAGGCTTCTTGTAGTACTGCGCAATCTTGTCGTAGGTAAACGATTGGTCGTCCACATCATCGGCCCATTTTTGGAAGGCTCCACGGCAAGACTCACCCCATGCCATGGCATTGAGTCTTGAACTACCACCTAGCTGTCCATGGTAAGCTTACACTACCAGCGAGGGATTTAAAGATACGCACAACTTTACCTCTTGGATAGCGGATGGTCTGATTGTTGACGCCCTGTCCAGTCAGCTTTCAATGGTTTACCATACGGGATTTCTGGACTCGGAAAATGACTCACCAATTGTGGAGTTGTGACAAATCCCCAGTCAACGGCAGAGGGTTTTTGATTCAAGCTCTTCAAAAGAAAAGCTCCATCGTATGCGGGCACTGTCGTGAGATTGCCAACACTCTCATCTGCCCACGTTCCTGCCTCGATGATGGCTACTGACACCCCAACGAGTTCAGTGAGCCGATTGGCCATGACCGAACCGCCGGGACCGCTACCGACAATCACATAGTCGAATTCAAGCTTTTCCGGAGATCGGATCACCACAGGGCTAGCCAGGGTAGTGGTAACACAGAGATGGGCTATGGCACTTGCCAACATAAGGCCAGAAGATATGAACGAGGAAGCCATGATGGGTTGAAAAAACGCGAAGGACTGCAAATTCTGGACCTCAAGATTTGATGCTCTCACGTCTGTCATAGAGGGGGACCCGGTTTTAAATGCTGCATGTAGCCCATTGCGCCTGCCTGGCTCGTTCTCATACACTACTACTCACCGCAAGCCACGGATCATCTCGAAAGATTCCATCTCCCATCTTCGTCTCTTCCTACCTTCATTGGTCAGTGTAGTCAGATTGGCTTGGATGCGAAGGCGAACGAAGGCAATACTCCAACACGATAGAGGGCCTCTAGCTGACGCCTTTGTGGGCTTGGAATCCTTCTCGGGGCTGGAGCCATATCAAGCATGTGGCTTGCGCGGACTCCGAGGGACTTTTTCTATATGCCTTACTGAAGGAGGCTGATGTTGTTTGACTTCACTAAATCCAGTAGTCTTATCCGTTTCTGGGCTTCTGCTATCTTAGTACACATGTACGTGGACTGAGGCTCAGGCTTATCAGGAATTTGGCCAGACTGTTCTAGAACATTGCATCAACCACTCCTCGGCATCATTGTTGCAAGTCTCTTTCAGCAGATCTTTCCCGCGGCTGTTTTACAGTGCCATCATAGATAATTCCATGCAAGCCACGGATGATGAAATTTGGCGAAAACCTTAACATGATTCAATCTCATCATTACTGAAGTGCTCGCTCGATTTGTACATTTACATACGCCCCAGTTCTGGCCAAAGCTGTCATAACCCTTTCAAGCTGTGTGTCCGTGCAGCTCAGATTTACCGAGATAAGATAGGAGGCTGAATCCTGACCCGATGCGCTAGGTCCTAGTCCGACCGTGTCAGCCTGCTGAAGAGCCGGGGCTGACTGTGTCTCAGAAGCTACTGTGGATAGCCCCTGACCTGCTGATGTTGGACTCATGTTTTCCGCAAGGTCGCCACCTGAAAGCTGATTGACACCATGATTCCTGGAAATACTAGGGGAATTGGGCTGGAAGCAAGATTTGCCACGAGTCTCGTTCAAGCCACAGGTCCTCGCTCCACCGGTTTGATCGCCGAGTGAAGGCGATCCAGTGGCTAGGCAGACAGGCGAGTCTGATGGAATGAACGGTTGCTCAAAGGGCTGGATTGCTTTATCTTCATCAAGGATTGGAATCATCGAGTATATCTCATCACTCGGGAACAGGGCGCTGAATGGTCCATCCTGGTCAAGCATTCCCAACCAACTTCCCGGAGTCGGAGGCAGCAGCGAACCAGTGGCTGACCGGCTCGAACTCTTCGAATGATCAGGGTTTCCGAACGCTGGAAGACCAACATCACGTTGTTCATCTTCGCTGCTATCGTTTTCGCCACTGAGCTCATTCCTTTCGCTTGCAGCCTCTCCACAGCCCCGTGAAGGAGCTGCGTTATCATTCCAAGTGTTGTTTACCATTTGCGCCTGAACTTCTAATGGCTGCTGCACATGTCTTTTGTTCGGCTGCGTTATAGTGGCGAGAGGGATTTTGTCCTGCGCATTGGTTCTGTTGATGTTCTCGTGTCGTAGGCGAAGGGTATTGTAACGATTCTTGAGCGAGAGCGTAGTTCTTCGAGGGGCATGAGACGTGGCAATCATGGCCCAATTGGTGCCATAACTAAGTACTTCGTGTAGTAGTAAGCCATCCTGCAATTTCTTAGCGCTCCCATTGGGTGTGGGACAGATCGAGACCTCAATACCTCCTGGCTTGTGTATCTACAGTGATTGATGTCCGGATCACTGCAGGTGATGCAAAGGACCGGTAAGTGTGTTTCCTGAGTACTGTTCGTGGAATTTGCACTTACAGGACTTGACTCCAATGACTTGAGCATTGGTCCGGTGTTCTCGATACGACGTCCCGTGCAACTGTCCTCCAATCCGTACCATACTTGTTCACTGCTTGCATCAATTGTTCATCCTCTTCTTCTGACCACAGACCCTTTGCCGTGCTGTCAGCTAGGCTGTTCCACCAACGACGACGACAATCTTTGTTCGATCGGCCTGGAATCTGTTTGGCTACTTCACGCCAGAGGAGAGGCCGAGACTCATCCTCACCTGTCATCCACGTTCATGCTTAGCAAAGAAGGCAATTTGAGGGCTGGTGGCTTGGTGGAAAAGGTCTGGTAAGTAAGATGAAACAAGAAAAGGGATCCCCACATGTTGTGACAATTCGCCGCAAAATGCGCGTCCTCCTCGAGAGTCCCATTTTCGTCTGACTCGTGCCATCCAGACATCCGTGCACTCTTGTTTCAAAAGTCTCTGGCACGCGAGCGCAGATTGTTGAACGAAACTCCAATGTTAACATCACATCTAATCATCCACCTTTGCCATCAACGACATGCCACTACGCTAGATACGCATGTACAGAATACAGGCCGGATTCGATCATCACAGGAGACCGGCAATTGCTCAAGGGGACTCCTCAGAGCGAATCACAAGGTTGGAGATAAGAACATGGCTCGCGCTTGATGCAGCCGCATGTCAGATTTCTTTCTGTTGTATGAGTAAGCTCTGATAAGCCTTTTCCAGCTCAGAAGGGTTATCGGGTAGAAGCTTGGCACAATCAAGCAATTTAATTCACGGGAGAAAAGCTAGGCAGTGGTAAGCTCGGGATCTGTCGGCTGTGTCTTACCGTCCTGCAAATAGGGCAGATTAACTCTATGTTACTAATAGACGGTCTGCGAGGCAAAGATCCGCACATGTCTCAACTGATCGGTGAGGTAGACAGCCCGTAAGGTAAAGATCTGCATGTGCCTCAACTGAATGGTGAGGTGAGGGGCTTCGGGTAAGCTCAACCTCGCGTTAGCTGCGTTTGGAATCGATCCTATAGGTGATCTTCGATGGATGTACGTCTGCAATCGCAGAGGGTCCACCACAGAACGGAATCCTGCTCAGACGTGCGCTATGTCTTGTCTGTCTGCGCGAGGGGTGGAACGAGCTGCAGGCCGGAACGAGGCGCCGGCAGAGGGTCTGCCCGACCCGTCTTGCATTAATGATGCTGTGTTCGCGCATACCGGTAAATTTTCGCCCTGCTTGCGGAGCTTCTTCAGTGCTATGTTGCAGTTCTAGTAGCGTAAAGTTCAATTAGCTAACGTATTCTACTAGCAAGCCGGCTAAACTAGTAAGCTAGCTACTTTTTCTTAGCACTGCGAATACTACGTATAAACTATAATGCTATCTTAAAATAACGTACCTTATAAGTTAGCCGAACACACAAGTTAACGTGTTCTACTAGAAGGTAGGCTATACTAGAAGGTAAGCTACTCTACTAAAACGCGTAAAGCTGCTTATACGATAGCTCTATAACTATATAATTAAATTTTATAAGATTTTAAGTAGTAATAGATTAGATAGCTCTATATTACTTTCTATTATAGCCTTATATATAATAGTTACTGCATATTAGTAGTGCTCTTATTTATATCTAATCTATTTCTACTTAGTTACCTATATAGATATCTCTTTCTGCCCTCTATATATTACAATCTAGAATTAAATAACTAGAAGCTCTATCTTATAAACACTAAAGTTCTATAACTAAGTAGTAAGACTAAGTTAGAACGCTAAGAAATAGATTACGTAAGAGTACTAGCAAGTACTAGTAAGACTAGAAAAGCTTAGTATACTAAGATATACTAGAATAATAGAATCTAACTAAAGCGTGCAGTATATAGATAAGACCTAGAATTCTTATAGTTTAGTATCTTTAACTTTATATTATAAACTACTTTATATCTTAAGTTACTTAATATATTATACTCTTTATAGAAGCTCTTTCTTATTATCTTAGTATACTCTCTACTTCTATATCTAGTGCTATATCTCTTATCTATAAAAACTAACTTAAGCTCTTTAATACTAGCTATCTAATTATTAGCTACTTAATAGGTTTTAATATTTCTTTAGAGAGTAGTCTCTTTACTTAAGCTTTATTAATTAGCTTTTCTTTATATTAGCTAATATATTCTAATTTAGTGCTAGCTATAAATATAGCAGCCTATAGATAGGTTATTAATATTAGTTAGATAGATATATTTATAGATATTCTTATTTATTATCTTTCAGAACTAGTAAGGCTACTAGTAGAGAAGTTAGTAGTAGTATTAGATATATATCTATAACCTTTCTTTCTTAGTAGTATATAGTTCTCTAAGAATGCAGACTCTTATTCTACGTTATATTATCCTTATAGAACGTCTTAGTTTCTAGTTATTAGCTCTAAGTTCTTAGAAGCTTAATTATTCTTACTTAAGCTAAAATCTTCTTAAGAGTGCTATATATAAGATTATCTATTAGATTCTTAGTTTTACTATTAAAAATTATTTCTTTATTAAAGACTATATTATAAGTGCTAATTATTATAGCTATAGAAGAGATTTATATTTAGTAGATATTTATTAACTTATATTCTACTAAGTAACTAATCTAAGCCTTAGGATTAAGCCTCTATAGTTTTAACTTTTCTTAGTAGATATTATCTATTATTATAAAAGCTTTACATCTATATACTTTTAAATAAGATTAGTTTAGTTTTTAGAGTCTAGTAACTATGCTATTTATAGCAGTAGCGCGTATAAAGAATACTTTATAGAGTATCTTCTAATTATTTAGGTAATTTAGTATTTAATTATAGAGATATACTACTGCTCTTATAATCTCTAGCTAGAGTTTCTATAGAAGATTTGCATCTAGTTAAATTGCGTATACTTTCTCTTTTATTATACCTTCTAAATACTCTACTTCTTTATTCTAAGCTTAAGTATCTAAAGTAAAGAGCTTAAGTCTAATTAATAGAGATATATACTATTTCTTAACTTCTTATTTAATAGTAATAATCTTATTATCTATCTTAATAACTATAACTATAATATTAAATTATTTCTTTATAAACTAAATAAAAAGGCCTAGAAGTTATATAATTAAGTAAGCTAGTCTATTATCCTTAAAATAAAAGTTCTATATAAATTAAGTATATCTGCAGATAACTAGCATCTAGCTCTTCTTCTTAGTAAAACTATCTTTCTTATACTTATAGAAATTAATAGTAATTCTTTTACTAAGTTCTTTATTATTTATTCTTAGAGTTCTATATATCTAGCATTTTAATTTTAATTTACTATAGGCATTATATTCTATAGTAGTAATTCTTGTTAATTCTTACTCTCTTAGATTGCTAAATAAGGTACTTAATTATAGATAGACTAAGATGCTCCTATTTATTTTATGCTATAGAATAGTAGTAGCTCTCTATAGTAATTATTTTAGCTTAATTTATATATATATAGAAGGGCTAACCGTTAGTATAGGTAGGTTATTTTAATAATCTATTACTTATAGCATTCTAATAGAATAGCTATAATTATGCTATCTCTTTATTATAGGCTTATTAGGTTCTCTTAGTTATTCTACTATATATCTTATTATTAGAGTAGCTAAAAAGAGATAAGATTATAGAGGAAATCTAGGCACTATGCAATATTTTTAAGATATATAATTTATTTACTCTAAGATCTCTCTACTATTACTCTAATAGCTCTATATTCTTATATCTAAATTATTAAGTTTCTAGCTTAGATATAGTCTTCTATTCTAGAATTGCGTACGTCTTTAAGTTAGAAGAGATTATTATAGATATATGTTATTAAGCTAGAGTCTAGAATAAATATATTCTTTAATAGATAATGTATCTTATAGGCTAGTAAGCTATATAGGTTAGTAAGCTACTTTTGCTAAGCTCTTACTAAAACTACTTTATCTATATAATGCCTTAATAATAGCACTAGATAAATGCTTTTAATAAATATAAGATATAAACTACTCTCTAAGCTCTTAAATAAGATATAATACTCTCTATGCAATGCGCTATAGCTATCTATAACGTCTCTTAAGTAACTCTAGGTTATTAATACGCTAGATAACCTTTCTAGGCAGATTACTAGCTTAAATTAATAAATTTAACTCTAACTAAGAAGAATATAGTTATTAAGTATATACTTAAGCTAGTTATATATAAATTTCTTTCTAAGCTTATAGCTATAGCTAATATAGCTAATTTCTTACGCGCTAAGCGCAGTCTAGACTAAGTTAGCTTAAACTAGCTTAGTATATTTATTAATTACTATTAAGGTATAGGCTATGCCTATACTTAGAGACTTTTCTATTAGCGCCTTAAATCTAATTAGTTAGTAATTAGAATATATATAGGCAATATATAGATACCTTCTTAATAAGAAATATAACTTTATTTAGTACTATATAAATTCTATTCTTATAAGCTAGCTTATAATAATTATATTTCTTTCTTATACTAATATATAACTAAACTTTAAAGGTATCTAAATAGACTCTTAATCTAACTTAGAACCTAAAGAGTAAAGTTCTAATTATAACTCTTAGACTTATCTTATCTAGATAGAGGCCTGCTTAAATATCTTTAAAACTTAACTTAGCTCTATTAATACTGCGCTATAAGACTTTATAGCATGCTTTAATAACTTTTTAAGTCTTTTACTTACTCTAATAGCTATACTAAGTACTGCTTATTCTGCTTCTATAATAACTCTAGTTCTAACTATAGTAACTTCTAATATTAGAGAAGTAGAGAATATCTTTATCTACTCTATAACTAAATAAGCGCTAATTTAGCATAAACTGCTTCTAGTAGAAGACACTATCTCTTAGAGAATAAGGTTACTTTTAGCGCTTAGCATATTACTATTATATATAAGCTTATAATTAACTTAGACTTTATTAGAGACTATTAGAACTAATATACGTTTATCTAAGCTAATCTTTTAGTAAAATGTTTAGAAAAAAGTAGCTTCTTACTATAAATTAGAGAAAGATAATAGCGCTTAGAATCTAGTTTTATTTATAGAATATCTTAT